CCATCACCAGCTGCCTGGTCCCAGAGGGGACACCCCCTCCAGGAGGCATTAACACTCACCCAATGAAGGGTAGGTGCTAAACAGAGCCCCCAGATTGTCCCAAAAGCACCCTCAGCAGGATTTTCCTGCAATCCTTAAAAGCACATTCCCTCTTGCCTGTAGGCAAGGCACAGGAGCCACTGGTGTTGGGGCCAGCCCTGGCCAGGGATCCCAATGCAGAGGCCAAAAAATCCCCAAACCCTGCAGAGCCAGCCAAGACATTGGGGTTTATTCCAGCTCAGCCAGAGCCTCACAACCTCAAATTCTTCCCAGGGTCAGGGGAAAAAAAAAACAACAACAAAAAAAATCAGCCTCAAAATTCTGTGGCATGGCAAGTCAACCCCTTTTCAGAGCAAAAAGCAGATGGAGAGAGGATTTTCTTGGCATTGTTTTCCCTGCACAGCTTCCCTAGAGCTGTGAATTTGCTGGTGCCCATCAGCACCTTGCACTGTACCCCTGTCAGAGGCAGAAATTGCTGGGCAAGACCAGCTGGCCACAGTCCACTGCTCTCAAAACTACATGTATCACACCTAAGCAGGTTCAGAAAGAAAATATAAGAGCTTTCCTCATTTTTCAGTCATGGCAAGGACAGAATTACATCTCCTTGAGGGTTTCACAAGCAGAAACTACCCAACAATTGCTTGGAATCGGAAAAAATAGGTATAATCCTAAAGGAAAGAAGTCACTGAGAGAAGATTCAGCAAACAAAAGCCTGTAGATAACATGGTACACTGGATATTGCTGCCCTGAGTTGGTGTTTAGGTTTGCCTGGACACACAATCAACTTTAGCATCTTGAAAACTGCAGTAACAATTAAAAAAAAAAATAATAATAGGTGTTTTTTTCAGAACTGGGGTGGAACCTCTGAAGCCAAAGGCAGAAGGATGGGGGATCACCTGTCCTGGCAATAACATGCTGGGAGTTATGGATCAAGATCAGCCCAGTGACAGAGCTAAAAATCGGGGTGTGCCACAGAGAAACTCCTGCTTGTCCTCCAGTGCTCTTCACACCCACCACCCACAGGCTTACAAACAACCCAGAAAGGTTAAATCTGGGGGTCTGGGGGGCTCTTAGGACAATACCCACAATCACAACAAGGCCAGGCACACCGTGTGAAGTTATAACACAGTAAAATAAATCCAAGGGTGAAGCTGAATCCCTGAACTGGTACCAGCCGTGGAGCAAATTCCTGCCACCAGGAGCAGCTGTTGTTACCCTGCCGAAACTTTGACGCGTTCTACACACTTCAGACCCCAAAACAAGGTGGACTGTACTGAATTTTAAATGGTAGACACCCTTATGACTATAAATACGTATCACCATTCTCCTGCTTTTACTAACAATGGCATTTTTCAAGCCAGTTGCAACTTGTGTGAGTAACCACATGAATTAAACACCACATACTTAATTCTTTACTAACCCTTCTTTCAACAATGCAGCAACAGCTATAACTGTAGCAAGTGCTGATGAGATTTATAACCGGGCCCTGACTATAAATCATATTTTTTAATCAGCCTTAGAAAATTTTTATTGCTGTTTTCATCCCTCATTTTATATGTACTATCTCCTCGGATCAGGAGGACCCATATCAAGGTGTAACTCTTGCTACATACCCCAAAAAATAGCACAGATGTTTTCCTAAGCGAAGATAAGAGATTAATGCAGGCATTTAGGGATTCCAAGGAGCCAGCTTGAAGAAATAAGTTTATTTTGAGCCTATTGTATTTGTGTTCATGGCAAAATTTGAAAGATCCACACAAGGGGCTAGACCCAGCCCTGCTGAAACCAGTGATATTTGTCCAGAGGATGGAGCCAACACGCTGGAAATGGATCAAGGACATGGCACGGGATGACAAACTGCTCCATCATTAGCTCTTAATTTAAGCTTAACCCTCCTTTTTAAGGAGAGTGGGTGAGAACAGCAAACAAACCCCACATCCATCACCACATCCACGCAGTTCCCAACTCCTATTTATAGTTTTGCTTCGAAATTAAAAAGAAAAATGCAAAGCATGATGCCAGAGGGGAGAGAGAGAGGGAAGAGCTCCGGCCTGTGGCTGCTGCTTTATTTCCAGAGTGCTGTCCACCACGCTCAGCACTGCTGCAGGCTCAGCCCGTGCCAACACCCAGCTCCTAACAAAGCTGCAAACACTTCCCCTGGAGTTTCCTAGAGAGCAAAAACGAACAGGTTTCCATGGCTAAGATGCTTTAATTACTGACAAGTTCGGGCAGGCCAACAGCTCCTGTCTTTTTTCTGACTGTTCCATGACACCCTCCTGTCCTTCTCCACCACCTGGACCTTTCTGCGTGGCAGCACCAGCACCCTGGAGGCTCCCAGGGCTCTGCTCCTCCTCAGAGAGGCTCTGTGAGTCCCTGCCTTGCTTTGCTTCCCTTACTCCAAAATGCTTTTTTAAAATTAACACACTAAGTTAAAAGAAAGCACACCCAGCATGAAACCCCGAGGAACTATTTAACAGCTATTTTAATCTAAACGATTGCAAGTCGCTTTTCAACAAAGGATTTGAACAGTTCCAGATTCACCTTTTCTGACTGATTTTGTGCCGCCACCTGACACACCACAGATCAATCACACTTTGCCTCGCGATCACTCCGGTAATTCAGGGCCTTGGGCCATTTCAGACCTTGGAATGGAACACAATTCCCACCTTAACCATTTAAAAATCAGACCTTGGGCTCTTCACAACCCACGAAGATCTGCGTGGCATCACGAGAGGAGCCCTGAGCAGGGCTCAGCCCTCAAAAGGGATATGGGGAGAGCTTGCCAGAACACAAATCCATTTTAACTCCAAATCCCCCAAACTGAGCTGACAAAACAAGCACACACACCTGGAGGCTTTGTGCATGATGCTCACTCACATTTCTTTTCACGCTGACTGAAAACACAGGTCAAAGTCGTTTGTAGGGTTAGAAATGGTGCTAATTCAGCTTTGGGAACAGGTATCTAAGTTACCCCACACGAGCAGAGAGCTTTTGAATTTAGTTTTGCCCAACTCTTGTTAAGAACACGGCATTCAATGCTCAGAGTCCACAAAAATGCCTGAAAAGGCTTTAAAAAAAAAAATCACACCTTTAGGTCCTCCTTTTTAAACCAGAAACTCAGTGTCTCTTCAGCCCCCTTCACTCCCATTGCACACACAAAGGGAAGAGCACCATCTCTTATAAATACTGTAAAATTTACCATTTCTCTTGTAAATTCCATATAATTTACCGTTTCTGTCGATTTTTTTCTCTCACGTCAAAGAAAAGTAACTACCTTCTGTGCCAACTCACTCATCCCTGCAAACTCAAAATTGTCCACCTTTGATTCGACCACCCCGAGGAGTCAGGTGGGGGATTTGCCTCAGAGAGGTACGAACTAAGACGTGATGAAAACCAAGCTGTTGTTTTCTACTATTCCCTCGATATTCGGGGTTATTTTTAGAAGTTTCCGGGCGAGCCGCGGAGGAGTTGCGCGGGCAGAAGCTGCACTCTGCAGGCAAACAGGCAGCAGCAGGAGCAGCACGTCCCTTGCTCAGCCGAGCAGTGCCCCCGTATGGCAGGAGGTTGGATATTTCTCTAATAAAAGATTTTTTTTTTTCCCCCCCCTCAATATTGTTTCTCCAACGCCCCCAGCTGCTGCCTCAGCCAAAGGGAACCCCTGACACAGGTTTATTTACACCTCGCGGTACTTGCCCAGCTTTTACAAGTTACCACAGTTATAAATCTCCCCCCAGTTCAGGGGTTTCCAACCCAAATGCCCTCATTTATGGCAAAAAAACGAGCAACAGGTGCTTCAGGTCCATCTCCTAATTCCTTCCCTCTGCCAAACCTCGGGAGCATCCCCCTGCCTCGCACAACTCAGCCCCAGCTCAACACCCCCTGCCAGAGCATATTTACCACCTCAGGAAAGCACCTTTGCCTCAAAGGCACCGTGCAAATACTTAAAAAGACAAATTTGCAGAATCTCAAATGCTACAGCAAAGCAGGCCTGTGTATTCAGGAGGTAAGAGTATACAAAGAGTCTCCCACATGGCATCACCACCCGCCCCACTGACCCGAAATATTCCTGTTTCCTGGGGAGCTGGGGACAGAGAAAGCAGCTCAATAAAAAGTGGTATAAAATACAAAGGTAACTCCTTCAAGAGGAAGAGTTTGTTAAAGGGAACAATCCTCCTTCGAGCAGATGGAAATGCAATCTTAATTAATACAATCTCGTAGCACATGTACACATAATGATTTCACAAGAACCCAGACGTCATGTCAGCAGATCCCAGACTTAAGGCATCAGGTGAAGTGAACTGAGGTTGTTTCCACTGCCAAAAAACCCAAATCCACAGCTCCCAGAAACCATCACAGCTCTAATTCAATATCTGACCAAGGACATTGCAATTAAACAACCAAAACAAAGAATCAGAGACCAAAGTATTTTCTTTATTATTCTGCTCCTGTTGTTTTCTATTGTAACTGCAAAAAAAAAAATAGCAACTGCTTTCCTGAAATTCTTCACTAATTTCAGATTTCACAGCAATAAAAAACATAATTCAAATGGCTTAGAAGTTTATCCCTCAAAAGAGAAAAGTATGAGCATGACACACAGGCTGCATATACACAAACACTTTTAATTACTACCATACCCAAATAACTCTCCTAGAAAACAAAAATCTCCCCTGACAATTGTTCAGTCCTCTGCTCTACTTGCACCTACCTCTCGTGCTTGAGTCCATCTTCCACTCCCAGGAAACACAGAGTGCTGGGACATCAGGGAGCAGAGCAGCACAGAGCCCTCAGGAAACCAGGAGAGAGAGGAAAAGGGGCTGGTGCTGCCCTAAAATGGGCTGAGAGACACAGGTGCCCCACCAAGATCATCAGATGGGACCAGCTGGGTGGTTTGTTTGATGTCATCAGCCCATCTTCTTATTCCCCCTGTAAAATCCCTCCTCCAAATCAAAGATTACACCCACCTTGACTCCTAAGCTCATCCAAACGAGTTTCCTGAAGAACAGTGAGCCATACTCAGGATATTGCAGCTCAGGAAATCCAGCAGCATCTGAAAGCCATCACAAGAGGTATGGCAGGGAATGGCATTAAATTAAAGTAGAGCTAAACGTGGCAAGAACAGGGGGAGAAAAGCAAGCAAAACATACAAGGATTTGGTTTAAAATCACGCTATTTTAATGTACACTCCTAAGGCTTCTTTAGAAAATCAGGAGGAGAGATTATATATCCTGCTAAAATAGGTTTATCAGTTCAGAGAAACTGTCCTACCTGGCCATGGTGGTGTGGCTGGAGAGCTGCTGGGGAGCTTTCCTGGAACAGTCACAGGTACAATTTCTCATCAGCATTGTCCTTGTCTGCAATGATGGGAAAGAAATCACTGTCAGGCTGGAGTTTTTTGTTTTATTTTGAGGTAAGTGCCCCTCTTGAGTTGCTTTCCCAGAGCCAGGTTTGTGTCATGGGCTGCCCTTTGAAAAAACATAACAGAGAAAAGAATGAGTTCATGTAACTTCATGACAAAACTCTGTAAAGAGCTCAGTTTAATCTTCTATATAAAGTGGCACATGAATTTAAGCCTTGGAGGGAACAGAGCCCTAAGAAGGCATCCAGTGGAAGGGTGTTTGCAAAATGGTCACTGCCCCTCGTTATGAAAGTTAGCTCTATGTTAATCATTCCTTAAAATACCCACACTTTTTTTTGTTTTACAGGTGTCTGGAGCAGTTTAAATGAGACATTTATTGAGCTGCAGGGTGGGGAGTGGATGGGGATGGACAGAACTGGGTGATAAACTACAGATGTACCCCGGCCAAAATGAATAAATCACTTGAGACTAAGGGGATCACAACTGATTCCCTCATGGAACTCGGAAAACTTTAATGTAGTTGAGGTTTCTGGTGCACCAGTAAACCCAGTGAGCTGCAGAGGATGGGGCAAGAACATACTGGCCAAAAGGAAAAAAACACCTATTTTTATTAACAGCCACAGGGTAAATATCAGTGAGACTCATAGAGCATGAAATGATGGAATAATGTAATGTACATGTTTATTTCAGTGTGGCACAGGCTGCTAGAAAAGGCTCATAAACTTACTGCTGGTCTCCTGTAAGCTTTAATAATAATCTAAAGCATATTAAAATCGAGCTGATGCATTTACTCAATGCTTACACATCCACATCCAAGCTTTGGGTGCTTCCAAGGGCAGAAGGAACCTGGTGAAGTCAGTGTTTTTCTCAACTGCTCCTCAGAGCAAACGTTTCCAGGAGAAATTCGCAGGCTTGGTGTGACTTGGGAGACTTTAAAATGGTTCTAGCAGGGCTTTCTGAGAAGAAATCTGCATTTATACATTATTATGGAGGTTAAGTTACCAAATACAGAAAATAAATCCCTACTCTGAAATGTCATTTAAAAAAAAAAAAAAAAAAAAAAAAAAAGACACACTAAGGATGGACTTTAAAAATTCTTGGCAGGCTCAAGATTTTTATGTTAAATCACTGCAGGTGCCTCCATTGAGCTGGACTCATTTGTGGTTTGCTTTGGGTTTGTTGTTTGAATTTCCAGCTGATTCCTCTTGCTTCCAAATGGAAAAGCTTGGCCAGATAAGTACAAATCCCTAATCAGTGGAAACAGAACGTGTGCTGTAGGTGTCCTCCTGAATGGGACAAGAAATGGGATAATATATATATCAATAAATTGAACGTGGATCTGGGAAGGGGAAAATACCAGGGGAAAAATTTAATGAAGAGGGAAACAAAATGCAAATCTTTCTTAATAAATCAATCATAATTTTGCTGTTTCTATTAGGTTAAACATTAGTTTTATTTGCTGCCTCTTATCTTGAGTGAAATCCGAGTTCTGGTACTCCTGTTCCTGTTACAGTGGTGTGACCATAAGTTGTGAGTCCATGACAGTGATGGAACATTCACTTCTCATTTCGGTGGGTGTGAAAAAACCTACTTAATCATTCTATTTTAAGTCAAAAGATCTATTTTCAATGTTTACTGTTGTCTGTGAACAATTTAACCCTTTTAAGGGTTCATGTTCAAATAAAAAAAAAATACAAAGGTTAAACATTATTTTTAAAAGCATAATCTGAAAAATATTTTGTGTTGTTCTGGATTTTTTTTATTTTTCTTTTATAACCAGACATAATCTCAGCTATAGAATTCCAAGGTCAGAATACAAGTTCTGGCTGTGTAGAACTGCTGATGACAGAAGTCACTTTTACACATAAATTATTGAGACAAAGTGCCAGTATAATTTGCCATGAGCTAGAGAAGAGCAATTTTAATGAGTAATAATGACATAAAAACTTTCCAAGCAATCATCTGTTTGTCAGCAGTAAAGTGAATGTGAATTTGGGAAAACTCTGGGAACATTCTTGCTTTGCCACTCAATATATTTTTGTACCCAATAAAACTGTACCAATGAATTCTGAATGTGGATAAAGTTAACAGCACTTATACCCAAGCCAAATCCTAAGTTTCTGATTGTTTTATCTCTCTCTTTTGTGTCCTGCCAAAAAGATAAGAAACATGTTGGCACAGAAGAAAAATTATTGCTTGGACTGTTCTACCAGCCAGTGAATCTGTTTCCTATAAATGCAACTTTAACAGAAAAAGTCAGTTAAGTGAATAGGAAATATTAGTGAGACAAGAAGCAATATCAAAATAGCATTTGAAATAAAAGAGTAGTAAGCAATTAAGGGGTTTTTTTTATTAAATATTTGTCAAAATTTAAATCTTTAACTCCAGACAGCCGATGAGTTTAAAGTGATGTGTGACAATTAATGTTAATTTAATCCCACAGGGATCTATCTTACTGTTGATGTGATCAGATCTCCACATAAATAACGCTAATTACTAATCTGTTTTGTATTCCATTGAGGAATAATTAACGAAAGAATCACTGTCCCCTGAGTGACATTCTGGTGCACTCTAAGCATGTAACAGCACAAGTCTGTGATGAGGGATGTCAACTGTTCTAACCCTCCTTGTGCACTTAGGGAAATACTTTGGTGTTCCTGTTTTAAAAATTCCTGTTCTTGCCTTACCAAGGAGGAAAGTGAGGAATGGTCTGATAGAGGAGCCTCTTCAGCTGCTGGACAGGAACCTGACCTTGGATTTGGTGTCTCTGGATGCTGTTGCCACACTCCCATTTCCAGACCCTGCTCTGGGATCTGTAACTAATACAACTGTAAGATTGGTCACTTAAAGGATTCAGGGGGTTTAATCACAATTCTTTATCTCGAAATGTGCGAGGGTTTTTTTTGTTTGTTTTTGAGGGGTTTTGTGTGTGTGGTGAGGGTTGTTGGTTTTGCGGTTTTTTGGTTGATTGGGGTTTTTTGGCGCCTTTTTTTTTTCTTTTGGGTGAGTGAATTACAGCTCTGAACACAACAGGCACAGAAAAAGGTCTTTGGGGCAAAGGAATTCCAAACACATGTATTTTTCCCCTCAGGAAGGGCCGCGAATTTTTGGCGGTAACACTGACTACTCTCCCAGGCGCCATCTTGGCTCCTGAGGTGCCATTGGCGGGAAAAGGCAGCACTCGGTGCAGGTGTCCTCTGTCTCACTCCGAGCCCCGTTTGGGCAGATTTTCCCCCAGATTCCATCCCGAACTGTCTCCAAAGCCGCCTCAGGCGCCGGCTTGAACCTTTTCCTGACATTTTTTACCTCAGAATTCAAGGGTTGTCGAGGGTTGCGACGTTCCCGCCTTCGCGCGCTCTGCGCCGCCTGACCCCCCTCAGCCGCCGTAGCGCCCGTACGGAACGGAAAGCGGCGCGGGAGCGGCAGAGCCAATGGGCTCCGATCTTACTGCGCGGGGCCGCTGCCCGCAGCCAATCGCGCGGCCGCCCCTTCCAGCCGCGGGCGCAATGGCGGCCGCCACGAGCTGCGGCCGCGCCGCGCTGGGCGCGCTGGGCCGCGATGGCGGCGGAGCCGCGGCGCGATGGCGAAGGGTCCTGCCTGCCCTGCCCGCGGGCGGCTCCGCGCTGCGGCTGCCGCTGCTCCCGGGCCGCTCCGCGCTGCGCTGGGTGCCCGCCCGAAATGCCGCGGCGGGGCCCGGGCAGTGCCAGGCCGTGACGGTGGAGGTGGGCGGCAGGTGAGGGGCGCTGAGGGGAGAGGGCGGTGCAGGAGCTGTCCCGGGAGAAGTCAAACGTGAGGGCAAACGGGTGCGAAATGCGGAGTATGTCGAGATTAGCTTAGCTAGGGATGTTCTTTGATGGCGATCTTTGCTGATAGGCTCGAAAATACACAGAGAGTGAACCTTAATAACGAGCCCTAAGGATGCAGTGAATCGAGATGCTGGTGGGTGTCTGTGGGTACCTTGCCACCTTGGCAAAATAACTCAGGGTCCGCGTACTAGGTTGGACTGAGTGGTCTCAGAGGTGTTTTCCATCCTGATTGACTCTGTGATCCTGTGAGCTCATCCTGGGGGACGAGAGGCTGGGCAGGACCCGGCAGTGTGTCCTGGCGGCCCAGAAAGCCAATCCTGGGCTGATCCCACAGCGGGGGCAGCAGGGCAGGGAGGGATTCTACCCCTCTGACCCCTCAGGTGAGATCCTCCCTGCAGAGCTGCCTCCAGCCCTGGGGAACAGCACAGGAAGGACGTGGAGCTGCTGGAGAGAGTCCAGAGGAGGCACCGAGATGATCAGAGGGATGGAGCAGCTCTGGTGGGAGAGCTGGGATTGTTCAGCCTGGAGAGGATAATCCTTGGGTTGACCTAACTGTGGCCTTCCAGTGCCTGGAGGGAGCCTGCAGAAAACATGGAGAGAGGCTGCTGTGGTGGGAAACAGTGCTCTGTGGATGTGCAGACAGCTCCACTGTGCCTGTGAGGGTGTTTCCCACTGGCTAAATCCCAGGTGATTCACTTCTGTCTCCAGGGAATGGCTGGAACTCCAGTTCACACCCGATGTGGCTGCAAGGCTTTGCTTCAAGGTGAAAGGAGCAGGACACTTGAGGCAAAAGCTCGTTCAAGTTAAGAGGATTTGGTCACTTTTGGCCAAAGGGTTTTGATTTCCGTACCTGAGGTGGATGTTTGTCTTGTGTGAAGTGTAATCTTTGTTCTGTGCAGTTGGGGCTGGAGATTAAAGCAGAATTGATGGAAAATTTGGTTGAATTCAGCATGAGTAACAGGTTCTGTCTTTCCCTCAGAAAGATGGAGCTGTCTTCTGGAAAACTTGCCAAGTTTGCTGATGGTTGTGCTGTTGTTCAGGTAAAAAAAAAAAAAAAAGTAGTGAAAATCTGTGCAACTTCAAAATTTCTGCATCTTAGAAGTCATTGTTAGGGTATCAGAGCCTGTTAGATGTGGGATATAGAGACTCAAGGAGCAACTTGATCCATAATGAAAGGACCATTGTGTTTTATAGGAAAAAATTACGTTTGAAAAGCAAAAGCATTGGCATGAAAAGTGGATTTATGTGGTTGTGTCCTGCGAAGAATAATTGGTTTTCATAGTTTAGTTTGTGAATAAGTTCAGAACATCAGGGGTTATTTTCTTTGCAGGTAACTTCAGGGTTTTTTATCTTTTTTTTTTTCTTCAACCCAGCTGGGTGACACAGCAGTGATGGTCACAGCAGTCAGCAAAACCAAGCCTGCTTCTTCTCAGTTTATGCCATTAGTGGTAAGTACTTACCAAAACGTTAGCTTTGTGATCATTTGTGGAAGATTTAGCAGCAGAATCCTTATTTAAGGAGGAGTTCAGGGCTCTGGGGGAAGTGAGGAATGCACGTGGTTGATGACAGACCCTGGAGTTCATGATAAAATGTCTGGATGTGTCGGATCATTCCCTGTGGATCAGGGGTGAGCCCTGGAGCTTGTGTGCCTTGACCTTGTGAACTTTGCCACGACAGCCAAGCCCAGATGTTCTGTTTCAGTTGTGTGGAAAACTGGTTGGATTAGGAGGCTCAAAAGGCTTGTGATTATTAAGGATTGGAACTGCGGGGTTGGGGTTGGAACTGGATGATCCTAAAGGTCCTTTCCAGCCCAAGCCATTCTGTGATTCCATGATTGATATCCCACCTTCAGGGAAGCAGCAGTGAGTCCCTCAGGGATCTACCCTGGAACAGAGCCTGTTTCATCCATGTCACCTGAATTCTGGGTTGACCTTGCTCTGAGCAAGGGATTGGATTATAAAATATATATAAAATATGATTGTGTTATAAATGATATAAGGTGTCTCTTCTGAGTGCTTGGGTGGCTCTGCAGTGAGTATCAGTTGTCTGTAGGAATGTGTTTTGTTTTTCCAAGGTTGACTATCGACAGAAAGCTGCTGCAGCAGGAAGAATCCCTACAAACTACCTGAGAAGGGAGCTTGGCTCCACAGATAAAGAAATTCTTACAAGCAGAGTCATAGGTAGGCTGAAACCTTGTAGTCACAGTGTATTTTAAATATTTTGAGATGTTCTCATGGGTGTTTGGAAACGCAGTGGTTTATAACTGCTGTTTGCAGAGTTGATTTTCTGTGGTAATGTCAGGAAATAAAGCTGTAGTTGCTTGTTTGTCAGATCTGATTGGAATTTTAGGGTTGTATGTGTCATGCTAAATTTCTTTCTGGGTTCTCTGCCTTTTTTTGGGGCGTTTCATTTAAATCATTTGGTCGGTTTATTGTGGGGTTATTGCAAGACAAACTGAGTGTTAACTACTGGAAACCAGCTGCTTCTTAGACTTTGGTTATTTCTTCTGCAGATCGGTCAATCAGACCTCTCTTCCCAGGAGGATACTTTTATGATACACAGGTGGGTCATGTTACCCTCCAAAGTGGAGAACTGGGGCATGGACAATGAAAATTTCACATGACACAGGCACTGCTTTAAGAAAAATGCTTTTGATTAAAATCCAGGAAGGGTTTACACTTTGCAAACCGTTCTAATAGTGTAGTGCTGCTTTTTAGTTTGTCATTAAAGGATTTTTGTTACGTCCTAGTTTCCAAATTTTGTTGTCCAGATAGAAGAAAAAAATTGAAATCTCCTCTGTAAAACAGGGGCAAGAGAGGCCAGTGGTAGATGTTTTATATATGGCACAATGTTACACATTAGTGGGTTTTTTTGTCAGCTTTCTGCTTTGAGTACCTGCACAAATTTCCATTTGCAGTCTGGGCTTGTGTGGGTATGTGGAATGTTCTGTTTTACTGTCCTTAGCTTTGTGTTGACAGCTCATAAAAAAATGTGTAGGTCACAATTATTCATTGTCTTTTATCTTATGCCAGATCCTTTGTAATCTTTTAGCAGTAGATGGTGTCAATGATCCTGATATTCTGGCCATTAATGGAGGTAAGAGGGCTGGGAGGAATCACTGCTTGTGTGGGATTTCACGGGATCCAGTTTTCCTAATCCACATTTTTATGTCTCATTTTAGCTTCTGCAGCACTTGCACTGTCTGATATTCCCTGGAATGGTCCTATTGGTAAGTGAATACCTTGAAATTAGGGGTGATTTGAGTGTAATGAGAGACCTAGACCACAATTCCTGCTTTTGTAAAGAGAAGCTGAATCTAAATGTTGAATTTCAAGCCCTGAAAATAATTTTACAATGGATAGGATTATTGCACTTCAAAGGATTATTTTTCCTGGACTAAATAAATTTTTGAAAGGTTTATAATCCAGAAATAGTGGAGTATAGAGACCAATAAATTATTATTTTCTTAATAGTAGCTTAGTCTTGAAAAGCATTGTTTTGAAAATAGCTGGATAAGAATATTTTTTCTCCAGGAACTCAAGAAGAGATTAGTTTAGTTATGAATATTTTTTTTTGGAAAAGAAATGACCCAGCCAGGAACAAATATTTAGCTGTATTTTCCTGTCACCTACCTTTTTTTTTTCCAGAAAACATGTGCTGAAATGACTAAAAAAACCCCAGCATTGTGTGTATAATACATGGCATTATCTTTACCCAGAAATAGTACCCAAAAGTAATTCAAGAACAGATAATTTTGTCTTCCACGTTTGTTCTTAATACACACTCAACGTGCTGATATTTTAAAATTAATGTACAGCTTTAATTATTGTTGCTAGATCTATAAATTTCCAAGTAAGGTGACGCCTCAAGGAGCTTCCTTATTATAACAATAATTTTCTGGGGTTTTCCTTGTAGGTGCAGTGAGGGTGGGGCTGGTGGATGGGGAGACTGTCATCAACCCCACTCGAAAGCAGATGTCTTCCAGTGCTTTAAATTTAGTTGTGGCTGGAGCTCCACAGAGTCAAGTTGGTAAGTGTTGGGTTCATTTTGATCCACTGAGGGCTTCAAAACCAAACAGGTGCCTCTTCAAATATTCCTAACGCTCGAAACTTTGCGTTTTGGCACGACAGAAATAACCAAATTCACGCAGTTTGGTGTTAATCTGTATTTCCTTTGTGGAGCTAAGCTGCTCTCAAACCAGCAAACTGCCAAATTTTTACCTTTCCTTTGGCAGTTATGCTGGAGGCAACGGCTGAGAACATCTTGCAGCAGGACTTCTGCCACGCCATCAAGGTGGGGGTGAAGCACACCCAGCACATCATCCAGGGCATCCAGCAGCTGGTGAAGGAGCGCGGCGCTGCCAAGAGAACCGGGCAGAAGCTGTTCGTGGCTCCCGAGGAGATCGTGGAATGTGCCAAGAAGTAAGTGCAGAATAAACCTGGTGCAGATCTAGCTGGGGCTGGGAATGTTTGTGAATATCACTGTGGTGCTTTCGTGCTTCTAATGAAAGCAAATATTTAATCTTAAAAAAACCCCTTAATTATATAAAGTGGTTTTAAGCTGTGTTTTTAAAACTTTTCCCTTTTCTTCCTGCAGACTTGCTTCTAACAAGATCTATGCAGTGTTCACAGATTCTAGCCACGACAAAGTAAGTGCTCCAGGCATTATATCATTATTTTTTAATGATTTTCACAGTTCAATCAGTAAGATTTAGTTCTTTAAGCTGCTGTTAATACAAACTCATCTCCTTCCTTGCATATATTTGCAACAGTAATAATAAATTCTTCTGTCAGTGGTGATCTACCAGAATATTTATTTGCAGTGTGTGGAGATGGAGACTCCTTTTTTAAAAGGAGGGGAAGTAGGTGCAGGATACTCCTGGGAGATTGGGCAGTTTTTCACAAGGAGAACCATCAGCCATTGGAATAATCTCCCCAGGGAAGTGGTGGATTCCCCAGCATTGGCCACTTTTGTGGGCAGAGTGCTGGGCTGTCTTGACTAGTGTGTGCCTTTGCCAGGAGAGGTTGCAACCCTTCCAAACCTGATCCTTGATTTTTGAATATGTGTGACAGTTCTATTTTTTAAACCCAACAAAACCCCCAAGGTGTGTTGTTGTTCTGCCCTGTGGAGTTAACTGGTTGCAAATCCTCTGTTCTAGATTTCAAGAGATGAAGCAATTAACAAAATCAGGCTGGAAACAGAAGAGCAGCTGAAAGGTATTTCCTGCCTTCTTAATATTTAGAGAGTGCTTAAATGGAATTAGCACTGCTCAAGAGTTACAGTAAAAGGGCTGTAAAATCCGGGTTCCAGCTTCAGATGCAGTTTCTTTTTTTTATCCCCAGAAAAATTCCCGGAGGCTGAGCCTTATGAAATCATGGAATCTTTCAACGTGGTTTCCAAGGATATTTTTAGAAACCTCGTTCTGAACGAATACAGAAGGTGAGCACGTCAAACTCCTGCTGAATTAGTGCATCTGTCAGCTTTTAATCCAAGATGGGTTTCATCGATCTCGTGGTTTCTCCCTGTTCCTTCAGGTGTGACGGGAGAGATTTGACTTCCCTCAGAGACATTAAATGTGAGGTGAACATGTTCAAAATGCTTCATGGATCAGCCTTATTTCAAAGGGGTCAAACACAGGTAGTGCCATTTAAACACCAGAAACTATAAATGACTTACCAAAAGCTGACAGATTTGTCTTTCACTTAAATGCCAAGTTTCTTTTCTTCCTCTCATGTAAATGTAATAAGTAGGAATGGTGTGTGGGTTGGGAAGTGGAAGAGAAATCTTTTAAAAGGAACTTCTGCAGAACCTGAGCTAAAAAGGGAAACTGTACCCAAAAAATTGCATTAATGAGATGTTTTCTTTCTCTTCTTTGCCAAAAGTGTCAGCTCTTGGGTGGATTGAATTAAGACTGTACTTGAGATTTGGTCTCCTGTGTTTTTCTGCCTCCTTTTCCTGTAAGATTCAGCCATTGATCTGACTAATTGCACTTATTTTGGGTGGTAGTTGCAAACAGTGATTTATTTTTGATTGCTGTTGCCTGTTATCCCACTAGAAACAACACCCACTGCAGGTCTGTGTGGCTGCATCTGGCCCAGTCTCTTAAATAGCTCAGTTTTTTTTAATGAACAGAATAATAATAAATGTCTGTGAAAAGGAGGAGAAAAGTTTGCAGGAGTGGCTGGTGGTGGCATCTTATTTGTTACTGTATCATTCTTTTTGCTTCTTCATAAAAATAAAAGTTGTGAAGGGTGGGAGTGTTTAAAAGGAGTTCATTTTTTTTTATTTTGGTTTATTTTTGTTGCAGGTGCTTTGTACAGTTACATTTGACTCCCTGGAATCGAGTGTCAAATCAGATCTCATCTCCACAGTGGTGAGGTGGGTACACATTCTGGTGTTTTGGCAGAGGGTGAGCAGTTAAGCACATGGGATAAAAGTCCCTTGGACTTCACACAGATACAGTTTTTAGGACTGAAACGTGTGTTAAATTAGTCTTGGAAGTCGCCTGTTCTCAGGAGATCACGGCAGGTATTTTGTGTTAAGGGAATATTGAAACTGGAGAGTATTACAAGAAACATCCAGTCTGGTTTATATATTTAAAATATCTGTGTTCTCTTTTTAACAGAGCAAGGAAAACTTAACTTATTATTGTAGCAGGGGAGTCCTTGTGCTTTTAACCCTTTTTATTGCTGAGGGCTGAAGTGAAACTCCTGCCCTTGAAAGCTCCAGTTCAGTGATCTCATCCCACCAGTGTGGGAGCTTTCACATTTTAATGTCTCAGCTTTACTTTACTTCAGTTTTTTTGGCCTGGAGGTGTTTGTCCATATTCTGTAATTTTGGTAATTGTGGGTGATCAGCAAATGTATTGATCTGTAAGTTTTCCCTGGGTCCATTTGTGGGCAGAACAATGTAACCTTGAATTACCTGTTGTATGTAAGATGTTTTTGGTTGCTCCTTTTTTGACATGGTCTTGTTTTTAATTAATAGTGGCATAAAAGATAAAAACTTCATGCTGCATTATGAGGTGAGAGCTTTACTGTGTCACAGCTTTCTGCATGATTCACAGAAGGGTTTCATGGCTTGCTTTTAATTTGATCACTTCCAAGGATATAAATTATCTCCAGATCTGCTAAAATGTGTTTTATTTTCATTCAGGCGTGAATTGATCAGAACTGAAGTGCTGGTTTCCTAAAAAGCACTGGGTAATTTGTAATATTAAAAAAGGCTGTATAAATTGGAATGTCTTAACATTGGGTGAGCTCCTTAAGAGCAGGCTGTTGCTGAAATCAGGATGAACCTGCACTGTGGTTTTTGGTGAATTCTATTAATGTGCTCAGCTGGCATGGTAAATAAGTGCTTTTACATCTTGGATCTCTCTCGGCCTTTGGAACTCGCCCAGAGTATTTCCTGCAGGCATATCTTGTTCCATTATCTGAAGGACAGAAATAACACTCCTGCTATGTTGTTTGACAAGTTTATCTGAAGGGAGCTCGTCATGTTGTTTCTCAGCTCCCTCACTACTGCTTTATTCCCCTTTGTTCTGTGGCAGTAAAACATTTACCAAACATTGCCTGGACTGGTCCAGGCTTGCAAACTAAGTGACTGATAACAAAGTCAGCTGGTGATTTGATTCATTTTTTTTTTTTTTCATTTGTTTTTACCTTGAGATGCCCCAAAACTTTCAAAGAATTGTTTTTTTCCAAGTGTACGTTTAAAAACACTGCGTTGATTTTCTGCGCACGCGTTTTTTTTACTTCACAGTTTCCACCTTATGCCACCAACGAGATTGGCAAAGTCACTGGTATGAACAGAAGAGAGCTTGGACACGGTGAGTTCACACCAGAAGAGTCCCATGCTGCAAGTTTTAATATTTCATCTGATTTTTATTTATGGATCACTTAGTGTTCGGGGTTGTTTTTCCACAGGTGCACTGGCAGAAAGAGCTTTGAAACCGGTTATTCCCCCGGATTTCCCGTTCACAATACGAGTTACTTCTGAAGTCTTAGAGTCTAATGGTATTTTTTTTTTATTTTTAAACTAGTGCCAAAGACTAAATTTGATTCTTAACGAGTTACAGGTGATAGATTTCAAGGTAAATGTTTATAATAGCTCTGTTACTTGAAGGACTTTAAATAACAAGCATGTGCATGGTCGTGAACAAATGGACCTTTCCATTTGTATCATATGAGATGTAAACATAAATCATGAGTTTAATAAAATATTTGGGGGTGTTTTTATGCTACAGAGTGAGGAAAATAGCTTGTGTTGAGACCCATTTTTCACTGTTAAATCCCTTTTCCTGTGTTCCAACTCTGTAGGTTCCTCCTCCATGGCTTCTGCCTGCGGTGGAAGTTTGGCACTGATGGATGCAGGTACAAAATACGGCACTTTTAAGGATAAACTGAGTTGGATCGTGTGTTTTAGGATCTGGAAATGACCAAAGGCTTCAAAAACGTAATTTTTTTGTGCTGCTCTCAGGAGTTCCAGTGTCCAGTGCAGTGGCAGGGGTAGCCATAGGTCTTGTTACCAAATGCAGTCAGGAAAAGGGGGATATTGAGGATTATCGGCTGCTGACAGACATCCTGGTGAGTGTTACTGCTTCATTCTGTAAAATACCTTTTTTGGCCTTCTTTTGTAACACTTTACCCAGTTAATTCTGAAACATCACTGCTGGAAATATTAGTTTTCTGGTTTGTCTCCCAGACTCCTCCTTTGTTTTGAAAAATCTCCAAGAAATGTCCAGTCACATTTCTTATATTGTGTGTAATCAGTTATTAAGCTTTCGTGAGCTTTCTTTTTCCAATGGATTTTGTCTTTTGGGGGGAAGAAGTTAATAATTCTTGAATAATTTACTGAAAAACACGATATATTGGATGGAGAAATAAGCATTTGGAGAGTTGCTGGGGAGGGAAAATGCACATTATGATGCAGCCACCGACAGCACAAAATCAACTGTGGTTCTGTTGTTCAGAAACTAGTCCACAAAAGCTCTTAATTTTTAAGGAGAGAAGGGAACAGGGTTAACCCTGAACAGCAGAGTAAGGCTGGAGAAAAACTCAGAAGTAATTCCAAGGCCTCAGAACTGGTTTATGGCTTTTTGAAAACACAGAGTGTACTTTTAGTATAGTGGGACCTGGCACTGGGATCAAGTCACTCCAATTTGCTTTCTTCTCTCTGTGCTGGCAGGGAATTGAAGATTATTATGGAGATATGGATTTCAAGATGGCAGGTACTAATAAAGGAATAACTGCCCTGCAGGTATGGTAACACTGAATCTTCCTAAATCTGAGAAGGTGTTAAAAAAGCTTTCCTGACATACTGATGTGACTTCATTCTTTCCCAAGGTGGATCTAAAACTGCCAGGAATACCAGTAAAAATTGTCATGGAAGCCATTCAGCAAGCCACAAGTAGGTCCATATTTGTATTTGCACCCATTTTATCATATGAAATGATAAATTGTATTAAATTCTAAGTTTTGTGTAAACAAATAAGAAACTATTAATTTTTTGTTCTCGTTGTGGGGAAAAAAACAAGCTGTTATCTTGATAAAACAGCTTTGGTTTAATAAATAAGATCCAAACTAACTCTGAAGTAACTTCAGGCCCATTTTTAAATGTTTCTTGAGCAGTGAGCTCTTAAAACTTCAGTACAAGGCTGTGTCACCTCAGGGAGTTTGTGGGTAAGGGATAATGCTACAAAAAGAACAGCAAACTTCTTCTCATTTCCCATAAATCCAGCTTGTATTTCCTAGGGTAACTTACTGCCCTCTGTATTCTGACATGTACAGCTCAAGTGTTCTGGAGGCACATGGAGAGCTGAAGCCACGTGCTTTAATAAGGATTTCATTAGTTGGAAAATGTTCAGCTTGATTGTGACAGCGAGATTTTAGTGAGAACAAATAATTCCTGCTGGGTGGTGCACCACTTCAGGCAGCTCAGCTGAAGTTCCAGGCCAGTGTATCAAAGCTGTTGCTCTTATCAGCAATCTGATTTATCTCAGTAATACCCTGAAATAAAAAATATGTGGTGTTCTAGGTGATAAATTCAATAACTGTGCTGTTGTGCTGCAGCAAACGTGCCCCACCTGAAATGTGCTCAGTTACCTCCTCCACTTAGGCAGGAGGCAGGTTTTTATCAGGAGATATTTATCTAGTTTGTAGCAAAAGCTGTTATCAATTCATTCTAAGCTTGCACAAAATTTTTGATTTCCTTCTCCTTCCCCTCCAGCTGCCAAGAGGGAGATTTTACATATCATGAACCAAACGCTGGCAAAGCCCAGACCCAGCAGGAAAGAAAGTGGACCAGTTGTAGGTAATGTTGGTTGTGTGAATTCATATCTTTCATGATAACCTCTTTAACAGTAAACTTCTTAAACCAGCTTTTTTAAATGAATTTTACATGTTTCTGCCTCTGCCCTATGGGGTTATTTTTAATTTATGGGGGATTTTTGGTTATTTTGGGGGCACGGGTTTATATTGCCATGTGGGGCAGCACTGCACTGTTTCCCAGAAAACAGGATTAAAGTGGAGCTTTGTGAAACTCCTGTACCCATTTTGATTTTCCATGTCAGCAGCAGTGTGGCTTAAGGTAATTTCCAGTCATCAGAGTCTATCCTGTGTCTTCATTTATCTCAGTTCTTGGATGTAATTACATCCACGTTCAGCAAATATTACAGGTAGCTGTAGAAGACTAAAACCTGACTTAATGTGACCTATTTCTTGTGGTAGTTTTCAAGATGGCTCTGTTTAGCATTTCAAAGTCTCTTTAAATGTTCTTTCAGAAACCATCCACGTTCCATTATCAAAAAGATTAAGATTCATCGGTCCTGGGGGTTATAATCTGAAAAAGCTCCAGGCACAGACTGGTGAGACATCCTTGATTCCTGTCATGATTTATCCCAACGTGCTTCCCTTTGTTTCAGACTTGTATATTTAGGTATTCCAATGCTCAAAGTAAAAAATGGGAAAAGGTTGATGTGTGTAGAGTAGCAGGGAGATGGCACTTGAAACTCTGAATGCTCTGCCAGCTTGATTAGTGCTGCTCAGGGGGTTGGGGTGGAGAAAAGGAGGAAAAATCCTATTTCCCTTTGGTGCAGTCCTTTGGCCAGAAAACTGCTCTGGAGGTGCAAGGAATTTTACCACTGTGCCTCCCAAACACTGTAATTTCCATCAGCTGTTGAGGAAAGCTGTGGTTTTATTAAAAATCTCTGGGAAATTCATTCGTGAAAACCCAAAATCCTTTCAAGAATTTTTTTTTTCCTGCCACAAAAGGACTATAAAAATAATTCTGTGTTCCTATGTGGACCACAAGTTTATCCAGGAAAATATCTGGAATGGGGTTGCACGTAAAGCTGTTTAATGCCTAAATTAAAGATGATTTCAAATGATTTGCAGCTCTGAGATCTTAAAGAGTCGGTGCAGAATCATTTTTCTCTCTCCAAGCCTTTACTGACTGTGAGTTTGCTGCTTGCTGAAACGTTCCCCCTCTCCCTAAATTTCCCTTTCTGAGGTGTGACTGTGAGTCAGCTGGATGAGGAGACTTACTCTGTGTTTGCCCCCACGCCCGGCGCCATGCACGAAGCGAGGGAGTTTATTGGGGAAATCTGCAAAGATGATGTAAGGACACACTTCTCTTGGCAGCTTTTTTGGTTGTTTTTTTTTTTCAATTTGCTTTTGGGGAATTTTTTTGTCCTAATTTTTTTTTTTTTTTTTTTTCCCTCCTCTACAGCAAGAAGTTAATTTGGAATTTGGTGCGATTTATACAGCCACGATAACGGAAATAAGGTATAAAAACTGCTCAGGAGTAGAAGTAGAAATTAGTTAATTTACACAGATATGTAAATATGATGTGAAATAACTGATTTTTAAGTGTGCCACTTACACAGGTGCCAGTGTCACCAGCCTAATTTCTGGTATTTCCTCTGTTGAAAATATTTTGTTTGCTAATAAGGCTGTTTATTTCTGCTGCTCGTTTGCTTTCTAGAATGCCTCTACAAATTATAAAACCTCAAGCCTTTTTTCACCTTTGTACCTGCTTTTCACTTTCCAGTGCAATATTTGTCTTGTAAAATGGTACCTATTACTGAAATATTATGCCCTGAAATAAGAAATTTCCATCCACTTCTGACTGAGTTAAAATGAGCGGACGTGTCGTGGTTGCTGCGAGATTTTTAAAAAAGGGAGATAAAATTTTGTATGTTAGTTTACTAATGCTTGCTCTGGGGACAACATGCAAAGTGAAATACAGAGTTTTCTTGATGCATTTTGAAGTAACTGTGCTGTTTTATGCTGCAGGGATTCGGGAGTGATGGTAAAACTCTATCCAAACATGACACCGGTACTGCTTCATAATTCACAGCTCGATCAAAGAAAGGTAAATCATCCTTAGACAAGTATCAAATGGACACTTGTATTTGTTTTTTAACTTGTTAGCACAGCTCTAACACTTTCCTGTTGTGCTAGAGTCCATTTCCAGGTTAAAATCTGTGAGATTAGCAGCACCCTTTCGTTTAACTCTGCTTGCCCTGCACTTAGAGCTTCAAAAACTCAACTGCCCCTGTCCTTTTGACAAGGCCTTTGTGTACATCACCAAGTTCTTTGGCTCTGTAATATGTTTTTCTATGTAACATTTAGAAACCTGTTGTTCCTAAGGTAATGCTGAGCCACTGTGATTGTCCAGAATGGAGCGCGAAGAATTCCTGAAAGAAGGAACTTTTATCACTGACCCCACAAAATGAATCACTCTGATTTTTTTTTATTTTATTTTTTGAAAGATTAAACACCCCAGTGCCCTGGGATTGGAAGTTGGACAAGAAATTCAGGTAATTATATTTTTTTAACTTTAAAGTGCTGATAAACCGCTGTTCATCTTTTAGAATTCGAGTGAATTTCTTTTATTTTGCGTTAATGAAGAAAACATTTTTTCCGTGTTGGATTCCCATTCTGTGCTGGTTAGAGGCCTGATCATCCCAATATAGATCTGTTTAAGTGTCATGCTCTTGCTGTGTAGGCACCCCATTATTTGCCAGTCTGAAAAGTGGTTTGTTTTCCCACCAGGTGAAATACTTTGGCCGAGATCCCACTGACGGCAGGATGAGGCTGTCACGGAAAATCCTGCAGTCCCCGGCCACGACCACCCTGAAAACCCTGACTGACAAGAACAGCATCGTGCTGGGAGGGGCTGTTCCACAGACATCCTCCTCATCCCAGTGACAGGCAAGGCCTTAGGATCAGCAGGCTCAATCTGATTTTTACCTACTGCACTTCCCCTTAGTGGTGTGCACACACTGCTTGACATTTATGGGAAGCGTGTTGGAAGTCGGTTCAGACACCTTCACGGTTCCAGGCATCCTGAACAGCCTGCTTTCTCCAAAACAAGCTTCTGTGTTCATCTGCAGCATCCTTTTTCTCTACCTTGCCACCATTTTTTTAAAGGGAAAAAAAAAAAAAGGCAGGGAAGAGGAAGAAATGAAAAATAAGCTGCTTTCTTGATGAAGTCAATTAGTGGAGTCGATCTCAGTCAATTAATGCAATGCCCAGAGCTCCCCCTTAGTTTTCCTGCATGTATTTGACTGTCAATACTTATGCCTCAGTTTTTCCCAAAACTTGTGTGGAGTTTTTTGTGTCCTTAAAAAGCTGCTAGAAAAGGAAGGTGTCTCATCTTAAAATCAGGAGCAATTCCACGGGGAGACTGGCAAAGGGAAAGGCACAGGGTACCACCACTCGAGGAAGTCTTCTAGGAATGATTCACAACAGCAGAAAAAATGAAAGTTCACTGAAGAAATGTTGTTCTTAAGAAATGTTTTTGCATCTCATGCCTTGATGTCAGTTTGTTACAAAGCATTTTCTCTCTCTTTCAGGAAAAAAAGATGTGATAGCTCGTGGAAATAACAAGTGACCTTTGCTAGAATCTGTTGATGCCCTGGCAAGAATCTGCAGGTGGATGGTAGTGAATCATATTTTTAAAATAGACACTATTTATGCTTAAAGGTGATGTAGAACTTCCAAGTCTTCAAATGGATTAAAAACCTTTAAAATAAAACCAGAAAGAAGCAATGCTCTTCTCTTGTGTAGCAAGGCTGAGGTGAGAATGTGGAACTTTATAGACATTTCAGTGCTGAAGATTCTTCTCACTATCAAGTCCAAATAAAACTGTGGATCTGAGAAGCAAGAATGGCTTTTCAGAGTACAGGATTGAAATGTTGAGCAAAACATAGAGGCTTAGAAGCATCACCTTTAACATGATCAATGCTGTTCTAGATAAATACATCTGTGACTGTCATAAGGTTCAGACTTGCTAAAATATCTGAGCAGAAGGGGGATTAAACAACTTGGCTGAAACACCATCAGTTATTATCTGGGTCTGTTAGTGAATTTTAAAATATATAATTAAAGCAGTAAAATTAAAATACTTACTTTGGAATAAACAATGGATGTGATAAACCTTCCCCCTGAAACACTCTCGTTAAGAGTGTTGGAATCCCTCTATTAATTATGTTCCATCAGTGGGTTCACTGATCTCTTTTAGACTTCAAAACGTTTCCCAGGGGCTCAGGAGAATGACTCGTTTTTCTGCTGTGGGTACAGACTGTGAAAATCAAAGAGGGTCCTTCTGATGTTCACCAGTCTGTATGCAGAACTCAGAAGGAAATCAGCTTCCCACCTGATGGCAAGTGGGCTCTGAACCTCCTGAAAGAAAAAACAGAGCAGTGGGGAGAGGAGAAATGTGATGTACAGTAAAAAAAGATTCTTTTTTAATTATTACTTTAACTTAAAGTATTAAAGAAGAAAGAAATGACTGGTATACTTCTCTGTAGTTGTCTTTCATCATGTAAGATTGAAAAATTGGTTGGAAAGATGGAAAAAATATTTCCTTAGCAATCTCTTCCTCTTTTTTGAGGAGTGTTGTCTGTTATTTCTTAATAAGAATTCAAATGTCATTTCTGACTGTGAGAGTTGACTGCTATGTTGTTTGTTACATGTCCTGAATAGCGTTAATAAAATGATGTAGGCCATTGTTAAAGTCCCTGAACAGCAGCTCAGATGTTTCCATTTCTGATAACTCTTTTCAGAAGCTGATCTCCCCAATTTAAGTGGTTTTCTGAGGTTTATTGTAGAATAAATTTCTGTAAGGCTCCTGTTGGTGCTGCTCCCAGTAAATCAGCTCCTGGAGCGCTGGGGATTGTCTTGTTTGTTGGATGATAAAGGAGGAAAAAGACTTTAACGTTGCTGTGGCAGAACCTGTACAGTCAGCCTGGCTTTCTGCACCTGTAACAACCTCCAGGCCCTATGGGAAGGGGTGGGGAAAAAAACACACTTGGGAATATCTGGGAGGAGCAGAGAGCAGCTGCTCCTACCTGAGGAGAGAAAGCTCAATGGGAGCCAAGGACTGAGAAAGCGTGTGCTGGTCTGAACCTTCCTGGAGGGAAGGCAGGGCTGGCTTCAGACATCCCGGGTTCTCCCCGGAGCCGTCGGAAGCGCAGGCTGGACCGTGGCAGGAGGGATTGGGCTCTCAGGTGATATCAGCCATGAGCAGAAAGCAGGTGGGTTAATAGTGCTTGACAGAGCCAGCTCAGCCCTACTGCAGTAGCTGATTTTTTGTGTTTGAAATAGTGATTTGTTTATTTCTTTTCTCCGCCGCTCCAGATAATTAGCTCCTGTAACAACCCATCTTAAATGGAGCCTTTGAAAGGAAGTGCCTTGGAAAAGTGAAGCTGGGCAGCAGGTCAGGAGGGCCACAAATGCCTTTAATTGAAAGGAATTGCCTTGCAAAGTGAAGCTGAGCAGTTGCAGCATTACAGCAGGTCAGGAGGGCCACAAATGCCTTTATTTGACAGATGCAGCATTTTCACACAGGCACAAAGAGCTGGGGTATCTTTAAATGCCAGCAATAAATATGACAAGAACTATCAAAAGCATAAGAGCTGGCCTAATTGTACTTCTGGGATTCCATGCCAGAGGGAGTGGTGCAGTCTCTTAATATCACTGTGAGAAATTTTAAGTGATTTAGGAACGAGTTGTCTGTCTTGCTTCTCAAAACTAAAAAATGAGAGCTCCCTGCTGCTCATATTGTGGCACTTGACGAGTTGCTCTGTCTGCAGCCTACCTGATACAAACTCTGTGTTTGATGAGGAGCAGAGAGCTCAACATCACTGCCTTGATGATGGTAATGGGGAGGGATGAGCTGCTGGCAGGTGCACCACTACAATGGGAAATGCTGCCTTGCTTTCTGTGCATCTTACAGGGCAGAGATTCAGATACATTGCTTTCCTGGTCTTAAATCAGGTACATAAGAGCTCTTGCAGCATGTGTTGCATGTCTTCTCTGGGTAAAGCCCCCAGAATGGACTTGCTTGTTGTGGGTATGGTCACGCTGGGGTTCACAACCCCCTGGATGCTGTGTAGTGCAAAGGGAAGCCCCACATCTGAGTGAATGCAATGCAGGTGTGTTCTGGAGTGATGTTTTTCCACAGAGGTCATTGATTTCATTGCTTGGAGGGATCATGGATTTATTTCACAGCTTAACAGGATAAATAGTTTTTCATGCCAAATCTGCCTCATGTATCTTCTACTCCTTCTGTACCTGTTCACCATAATAGATAAGAATTATCTATGGCTGTTCACCACAATAGATAAGATCTGATGGGTGAGATAAGAATTTGCTCCAGAATATTCTGCTGTGGTTTCTTTTATATATCTGGAGAAGGACTGCATTTAATCTTGAGTAGAAGTCATGCTTTATTTTTGTGCACTTGGCTTGAAGAGCTAAAAAGCACACATGGAAGTCAGGCAGAGGGGAGGGAGAGTTTGTGAGTGGCAGATGTCTTGAGACAGCTGTGGCCAGTGGGGTTTTAGTTTCTTTTTGTATTTTCCTTTTATGGAGTTTTCACTAAGGCAGAAATATGCCCAGTGTGTAAAACCTTGAAAGGATCAGTCTATGTAATACAAAAAAGGCACTGATGCATAGAGGGGAAGAGTGGAACCCCACTGTAAACTGCTTAACGTGACTCTCAAATCATTGTTGGTGAAATTACTGGTGTAACGTGGTCTTTTGTACAGTTACAGACTTATTTATCCATAACGATGAAAATACCGTAAATTATGTTCATATACAGCTAAAGCTAAGTGTAAAGATAGTTTCCTCAGAGGTGTATCTTCCACCTGCCATCTTCTGCAAAGAAAATTCATGGTAAATCTTAGAGGCCTGTTACAATGAACCTCAGCAAAAGCTGAGATTTAAATGTTACATAGATACGACTTTTCTAAATCTGCCTACAGAATGTTTCTTTAAGGTATGGAAAAGTTGTACGTAGTTACCTAGAGTGGCATATTTTGCTGTGAATTTTTTCTTTCTTTCCCTTCCTCTGGAACAAGATCGAACTTACACCAGAGACATGCCAGTCTTGTAAATAAGAGCTATACCGGTGTAACTGCTTTCACCGTGAGGCAAGAGCCAGGAAAGTCTGGCTTTGTCTGGGAATGAGGCACGCCCTGGCCTCAGGAGCACTTGCCCTGCCATCTCCCTTTCCTTTTGGAGCCTCAAAAGCGTGGTTCTGAGACACTTTTAGGCTTCTCCTCCTCCCCCAAGTCCCCGCTGTTTCACGCAGCTTGACTTCTTGCATCACTTGTGTCCTTTTTCCCTATTCCCAGGTGAACACTGACATGCGATTTGTTTTTTATTAGTAGCACAGAGGAGATGTGTAGCTGGTGTTCAGTGTGTAAAACTAAGATTTATGGATGCCATGATGCCTGGCAAGTGGTTTGTCTTTAATTGTAGTGTTTATAATGGATAATTAAGCATGTTTCTCTCATTGTGAAGTTTCAGAGGACAGCTTCGACTTCAATTTAGCTTTTGAGCTTTCTGGGAATCTACAAAGCATCTACAGAATGTATGTTACAGTGTGGCTGTTGCTGTAAGGAGATGCCACTGAATAACCTTTCTGCTGTTTTGTGATACAAGGGAGGACTTTTTTTTTCTAAAAATGAAACGCGATGTTTGTGTTTCGTGCGCCGTTTAAATTTATCGTGGCCGGGCTGTGGAGCTCGCCCGTCATTGTGTCACGATTGTGGGTGGCACTTTCTGTGGCGTGAGGGGGGGAGGCGTGCGCTTCGTCAGCGGTGGCACCAGCTTTCATACAGACGTTAAAAAAATATTTTTTTTAAGTTTTTTATGGGGGGCACACGTGAACTATTTCCCCCTTCAGAAGCCGGGGGCGTTACGCGGCCCGCACTCCCCTGTGACTGAGCGCCGCCGCCATTTTGTCCCCGCCTCCACGCTCCCGCCCGGGCGCCGCCCGGGGCCGTGAGGGAGCGAGCGCGGGCTCCGCCCCGTCCCTCCGTCCCTCCCCTCCCTGTGGCCGCCGTCCCGTCGGCGGCGCGGCGGCAGCGGGCGGCCGCCGTAGCCCCTGCGAGGGGAGCCCGTGGCCGGGCGGGGAGGAAGAGAAAGGCGGCCCGAGTCGGGTTACAAGATGGCGGCGGCGCTGTGGTAGCTGCCGAGGCGGAGCGGCGCCAGCGAGGCCCGGGCCGGGGCGCGGCGGCGCCGACCCGCCATGGACAGCGGCGCGGTGCAGGCCCCGCGCTGCCCCTGAGCGGCCCGGCCGCCCCGCTTGCTCCCCGCCGCCCTCGTCCCATCGCCCCCGCGGAGGCGGAGCGGGCCCGGGGCTGCACCATGTCGGACACCCGCCGGCGGGTGAAGGTCTACACGCTCAACGAGGATCGGCAATGGGACGACAGGGGCACCGGGCACGTCTCCTCCAGCTACGTGGAGCGGCTGAAGGGGATGTCGCTGCTGGTGCGCGCCGAGTCGGACGGTGAGAGCGTGGCCGGGGCTGCCCAGGCCCTTCCCCTCGCCCCCCGCCGCCGGGCTCGGCTCGTGGTGTCTCCCTCCGGACGCCCCGACGAGCATTGTAGTTATTACGCTATCATTGCCCCCTTTCCTGCCCTTACCTTGCGGCTCCGGGCGGAGTTTCCTTCCTCCCAGGAGCCACAGCAGTGTTTGCCACCGTGGCCCAAGACCTTCCTTCTCCCCCCCCCCCCCCCCCAGTTCGTGGAGTCCCGGAATGGTGGAATACGCTGGGTCGGAAGGGCCCCTGGGGACGAGCAGCCCCCGGCCCCGCGCAGCACACACACCCCGCCGGTCCCACCATGTGCTGAGCCTTGTTCGTGCCCGCTGCCCCACCGCCCTCGGGGGGGGGGAAGACTTTCCTTAAAACCCCACCTGGCCCTACCCTGACTCGCTGTTACCCCGACCAGCTGCAGCTCCTCCACCTGCACGGAGCCGGGGTTGTTGCGTGTGACGACATTTTGTTCGCTTTCGGAATGATTTTCTTTGCTTTGGAAATGCTTTTTTTCCCCACCACCACCTCCCTTTCTTACTGCTGCAAAAAGTTATTCTTTTCTTGCTCTTTTTTCCCCCCTCAGGAATTCCCTGATTGTACTCGAGCCTTGTGGCGTTCCTCGTGTTTTATTGCGCTTTAAAGTCACCTTAAAGGGGCTTTTTTGGAGTGGGGAGGTACGTGCTCCCCACTTCATCAGCCGACAGGTGCTAATGTGCTAAATAAACCACCTAAGACTGGGATAAATTGCTCTGGAGCTGTTGCCAGGAGACATACACTACTTGCATACACAAGATAAAGTCCCCTCTTATAGTATCTGAATGATTCACTTCTGAAGGGCAGCTGAAGGCAATAAAAGCAAACGGCCCACGTGGCTTCCCTGGGCAAAAACATTTTTATGCTGGGCAGCACCTTAACTGCTGCAAATCCATCCAGATTTGGTAAATGGCCTTTGAACAAGCTGCTTCTTGCACCAGGTTTGGGGAGAAAAGAGCGCTGCAAAGAATTTTAGACTAAATTAGAAGAGAAAACTCCGTTTTAACGTGGATATTTCTGTTGAGTTTTGCCTTACCCGGCTTATTTTAGGGAGTTATATTTAAAGAAGGCGGTTCTCCCGGATTTTCTGTAAGATTTGGATTAAGCTGAGCCTGTGTTGGCTGGCACACGGGCAGTGGTGTGAGAGGAGTGGAGATGTTTGTTTTGTTGAACTCAGTAAATGTCTCTTCATGCCTTTTTCAGGTTCACTACTGTTAGAATCGAAGATAAATCCAAATACTGCATATCAAAAACAGCAGGCAAGTATTATTGCTAGGCTTTGTTTTTTTCTGATTGCTGAGGAATTGTTTTGTTCTTGAAGTAATCGTGTTTTTCAGGAAAACAGGGTTACATGGAACTGTTGATGGTGTTTTTTATAGAGGTGAAAAACTTCCTTAGAAGCCTGTAGGAGCTGTAACACTTTGAATTCTAGAAATTAAAATGTGTGTCTTGAAAAAGCATTGCAGACCTCAGGCTTTGAAGATAATGTATGCAAGTTGGATAAATATTGAACTTGTTATGGGAAAAATAGTTGGAACCATACATGCGTAACTTTTGTCTCCCACCCCAAGCTGTCTGAAATAATTGCTGTATTATTTCTTTGGCCAGCTCTGTTGAAGTGTATTTATTTACTTCTTGAGTTGTTTTGCTGGAGTAACATCGAGGAATTTGTGGGACTTCTTTCGCTGTTGTTGCTGTTCAGTTTTTATTTGAAGCCCTGAAAACTCGTGCTGTCCTTGGGAAGGCTCTGAGCCATGGTCAGACTTACCTGTATGGTTTCCTTTCCTTGGGGAAAACCTGCTGCAAAGCAAGGCAGTAAAGCAGCTGGGAGCTATGTTAATAGGTCATTTTTGGCTAATCTGAAAAAAATCAGCTTACTGAACCTCTACTGCTTTTATCACTTTTATTGTTTTCCCTTTTTCAGCTTTAATTTTTGGTGTCTCTGCCTACATTGTTCTCATGGGTTTTCTGGATTTTTTTCTGTCTGTTCCTTTGTTCTGCAGTAGACTCCCTGTTCCTTTTGTTCAGTATTTGCTCCTGTTCTTCATCACTGTGGCACCCAGAAGTGTTTCACCACTGGGAAACAGTAATTTTGTTCTTCCTGAGCCCGAAGAGACTCGTCTTTTAAGGATTTAGTTTTAGTGACAGTGTGAGAATTGGAGAAAGAAACTTTGTTATCTCCTGATGGTGGGTTGGCTCACTTCAGGGTTAGGAGGGAGTTGGAGGCCTGGGCCAACCTTTCCAGAAGGATCTGTTTGCTGTGGTTTCTGGGTGGGTTTAGTCAGGAGGGTGACATCCACAGGCTTTCCCTGGGTGGGCCACGCTCAGGAAGGAGGATGGTCTTCTGTGGAGCTCTGCAGAGCCTTGCACTGCTTCCTGTTTACTGGAGGAAACCAATACACATTAAAATACAAATGCAGATTATGTCCCTGTAGAACTTAAAACACTTCCTTTTGCACCCTGTTTCCTGAAACTTCATACAACTGATTAGTTGAAAGCCTTTCTCACTTAATTGGTAGTGAAGTTTCAAGTAACTTAAGTAGCTTTGGTTGTCGTTTTTCATGTGGAAAAGGTAGGTCATAGTTTAGAAAAACTCAAGCTGAGGTTTATTTTGGTTGGGTTTTGTTCCTGATTCTAATCCTTTTGTGTCCTTGTGGCAGAAAGGGTTTGTTTCGCTGTTCACTCTTTTGAAGAAGTCTGGGTTTGCTTTTTTTAAGAGGAATAATGATTGATGACTTCCAGAGCCAGGTTGATGTTTCCTGGTGGAAGGGGACGTGCCCTGCCTACACATCTGTCTTCATGGAAATGCCTTGAATGGACTTAGAGGAGAGTTAACTCTTAGACTGTGATTTGTGTAACAGTGTTGTGTGGAGAAAAGGGAGCCAGCTGATTTTTGGGTGCTGTACATCAGTCCGTGATTATAATCTCTGGTAACATGGATGCAGAGGACACAGAGCCTGCAGAGATCCCCCTGGACTTTGGGGCCCAGGCTTTGGGAGGTGTGTTCCCCTGTGGAACACCCCACGCCAGCAGAGGGGCAGGGTCACATGTGTTGTGGAGCCTCTTGCAGGAGCAGTTTGAAAAGTTGTTACCACACCCATTTGTTGTTTCACCCTCTGCTCGAGGTTGCTGTTCCCTGGCAGGACTGGCAGAAGAGCTGGAACTGCTACAGAAATCCTTGCTGGGAATGCTGCCTCTGATGTTAACTGTTTTTAGGTGTGCTCAGCCTGTGTTCAGCTCCGAGATGAAAATGTGTGCAAATCCTGTCTTTTGCCCAGAGTTGCCATCACTCATGTGACAGCAGAGCCGGTTGCTAGAGGCAAAATCTGAGTTCCTGGAGGCTGGGATTTAACACGTTTGCAGGGGGGCTGTTAAAGCAGTTGCCAGAGGGCTTCTTCACTCCTGTTTTACTCTATTCACAGCACTGTGTGGCAGGTCAGATGTAGGAACTGAGGGAGCTGAAAACGTCCTCTTGCTGGATTAATTTCTATCAGCTTGTCCCTCCATCTAATTCCCTGTGCAGCGTGAGGGGCCAGAGCAGGAACGAGGAGAGTGGGAGCAGCAGACACTGTGCAAACCAGCACTGAAGAGGGGCTTGAACTACTGCGAGCTGAAACTTTTGTTCAGAGTTAGGTGGTTTTTTTTGACTTCCTGTGGTGTTTGAGTGAACTGAGGAGCGTTGCTGGTGGACAGAGCAGCACCCTGGGTATGGGGAATACCCGGCACAGCATCGCTGTGCTCTTCAGGGGTTGGCTGAGGTCGTGCAGGAAGCGTGTGCCAGATCACTTTATATTGGTTTTGGACCATTATCTTCTGATGAAACCATCCCTCAGTCTTTCTGAAATATTTTTGGAAAAGCTTATGTAACTTGTGCTTTGTGTGGGCAGTACAGATTGTAAGAAGCACCATTCAGTAACTCGAGAACTCTCACAAATTTTTGCCTGCAGTCCCTATGGATGCCTGGAGTCATTTTAAGGTACTGCACTAATTCTCTGACTTGAATCATCCTGGGCTATGAATAGAGCTGCTGAATGTGTGTCCTTTGTTCAGTGAAGCACCTCTGAGTCTCAGCCTACCTGGGAGTGCATTGATTTGAGTGTCAGGGCATCAGTCATTTCACTGAATGTTTCAAGACACACATTTCAGATTCTGAATTTTTTAACAGCTATAAAACTGTACTTAATAATTCTTTTTTTTTTTTTTTTTGATTAATCTCTGGAAGAGAACTGGATCAGGGAGCTCATCAGGCTGTTCAGTGCCTGCAGTTGACAGTATTTTTTCCTTGAAGCCCAGTTCAACTGTTGCCTGTAAAATGGCCCACAGCAAACAGGGATCCAGCTGTCCCTGAGCTGGAGATGAGGGGGGACAGCTGGAAGTGAGAACCATGTCAGCTGTAAGGAGCTGTACCCTCTGTGCACACCAGTGGGCCCAAAAGCAGGGAGGCTCCTGGGAACATTTGTGGCTGTGGGATAGAAGGGCCAGTGGAACAAGAACACTGCAGTAGAAATAAACAGCTCTCATGAGCAGCACTAAAACCATAGTGCATTGAGCCCAGTTCTTTCCAGAATGGGAAAACTTGGTTTCTTCAAAGAAATACGTAAAAATCAGTAAGAAAGAGAAAAAAAAAATTGAGTTTATGCAAATGGAGTTGTTTTTAGTGTGGCCTGTGACTGTTTTGGGAGAGGGAGGCTGATCTGTTGGTATAATGAGCACCTTACAGACAGTAATCAATGAGCTTATCATTTCCTGGTGTTTCTTTGGATCTCCTTGCTAGGCTTAGATACCACTCTGAATATTTTGTTTCCAGCAAAAGTGGTGCATAAGGTAAAGACTTAACAAGCCTTGCTAGGTTGTGTGGTGAATATTGAACTTTGTAAGTGTGGGAAGTGAGTTACCTCACTGACCATTAAGCAGGGGCTGGCTAGTATTTAAAAACCACTTTAGTCTTTAAACTGCGGTAACGGGTCAGGAAGTCAACAAACGTGGTTGCAGGTTGAACTGTTTTGCTGGAGCCCAGCAAGTGCAGTGCAGAGTTAGCAGAGAGCTCCTCAGTTTGGACACTTACCCGAGGTGGGTTTGCTGCAGGTTGGTGAACTGCTACCCTGGCTTCAGCTGGGATAAATTTCTTCCTCTAGTGGATGCTGTGGTTTGGGTTTAGGGTGAGAACAGCACTGATAACAGGGGTGTTTTGGTTGTTGCTGAACTGTGCTTTCCCTGAATCAAGGACTGTGGAGTTCCCATGCCCTGCAGGTGAGGAGCTGCACAAGGAGCTGGGAGGGAGCATGGCCAGGGCAGCTGAAGTGGCCAAGGGGATATTCCAAACAATTGGACAACACAGGCAGTGGATAAACTGGGGGGGTTGGCTGGGAGGGGCCGATCCCTGCTCGGGGACATCAGTCAGGGGGCTGAGCAACTGTGTTGTGCACCACTTGTCTGTCTTGGGATTTATTCCTCTCTTTAGCTTCCTTTTTGTTGCTGCTGTTATTATAATTATTCATTATATTTTACTTTATTACCTGAATTAAACTGTTCCTGTGTCAACCTGTGGGTTTCACCTTTTCCATCTCTCCTTCCCATCCCACTGGTTTGGGGGAAGCGAGGGAGCAGCTGGGTGGTCTTTAGTTGTCATCTGGGGTTAAACTACAAACAACTCTATATTTAAATGTCAGGGTACAGACCTGCCCTCCTCATAGTACAGCAGCAAGTGTCCCAGTAAAACCTCTTACAAAAGCCTTTTAGTCTGTTCAGAAATTCCAGCGAAACTTCCAGAGCTTCTGTGCAAGTGCAGGGATGGAATTGATGGAGACAATAGTGACAGAGGAAAAAAAACCTTGCTCGAATGGCAGCAGCTGGCAAGATGCTGGTAACTTTAGTAAGAGCTTAGGAGGTTTATATTATTCAGGCTGTGTGTCTTTTAATTCAGAACAGATATGTGAACATCAGGCATTATTCCTGTCAGTGCTGGGGCTGCCTGGAACCCTTTCCGAGGAGGGAACTGAAATCTCAGGGGTTTGTTTCAGCTTTACTTAATATGAAAATACTTAAATTGTTCTACTGCAGGTTTAAGTTGATGTTCTTTATGACAGAACAGGTGATTTAGTATTTTAGTGTCATATGTTCTTTTATTGACAAATGTAACTTAATTAAAACTTTCTTCTGTAGACATTGGCTGTAAAGGGTTAGAGATTAATATGCAATGCAGACCTGTTTCAGAAATAATTATTTTCTTGTTTTTATCTTAAACAGGACACCCTGATTGTTTGGTCAGAAGCAGAGAACTATGATTTAGCACTGAGTTTTCAAGAAAAAGCTGGCTGTGATGAGATTTGGGAAAAAATCTGCCAGGTACAGTTCACATTTTGTTTCTTCCAGATGTTTTATTGTCTTCTGTGACTTTTGATGTATTTGTGCATCCTTTTTAAACCTCCTTGTAAAATAAGCAAGTACTCTTTGTTATTTTTTGTGGCTTTTCTGTGTAAGATCTAAAGTTGCCCCCACTGAGAGCACCACTTGTGGTTTTAGTGATGGGAGTGTCAGGCTTGTGAAAAATCGATGTAATGGTGACACTCAGGTGCTGGGTGTTTTGGGGAGGTTGATGTGATTGCTTTTATTAAAAAGGGGCTTCCAGAGCACCAGGTTTTGATTGTCCTTGTCCCAGCTGGCCCCAGGAAGCAGCTTGTTGGAGTGCAGGGGAACCTCAAGGAATAAGGAGCTGGATGTGCCAGGGACAGACAAAGAGGTGGCAGAGCCCAAACTGTCAGACCAAAGACTCAAAAAAAACCCCAAACAAACAAAGGGGCTAAAAACCCCCCAACTTTCACATGGGAATTACCATAACCTTCCCAGACTTGGAAAAGTCTGAAGAAACACAGAGCTCACCTTCCCTGGGACAAAGCAGGCAGTGGAGATGTGCTGTTATTTCAGTTACTGGTTATTTTGGTGCATAATTTGGGACGAGGCAGTAACTGTGTGCACTCTCTCCTCAGGTTCAGGGCAAGGATCCCTCGGTGGAAGTCACACAGGACCTTATTGAGTCGGAAGAGGAGCACATAGAGGAGATGCCTGAAACCAGTCCCTTGATCGACCTTCCCACTTGTGAACTCAACAAACTTGAAGAGATCGCCGACCTCGTTACCTCTGTCCTCTCCTCGCCCATCCGCAGGGAAAAGCTGGCCCTGGCCCTGGAGAACGAGGGCTACATCAAAAAACTGCTGCAGCTTTTCCAAGTGTGCGAGAACCTGGAGAACACGGAGGGCTTGCACCACTTGTACGAGATCATCCGGGGCATTTTGTTCCTCAACAAAGCGACTCTGTTCGAGGTGATGTTCTCTGACGAGTGCATCATGGATGTGGTGGGGTGCCTGGAGTATGACCCTTCTTTGGCTCAGCCCAAGCGGCACAGGGAGTTCTTGACCAAAACGGCAAAATTTAAGGAGGTTATTCCTATCACAGACTCTGAACTCAGGCAAAAAATCCACCAGACTTACAGGGTACAGTATATTCAGGACATCATCTTGCCGACGCCATCTGTTTTTGAAGAGAATTTTCTTTCTACCCTCACTTCCTTTATTTTCTTCAACAAAGTTGAGATTGTCAGTATGTTGCAGGTAAGTGGTTTTCAGTATGGTCTGGATGGATGACGTGTGGATACCTGTAGCTGTAGTTTCCAGTGGATTACAGTTAATCACACACACTCCCATTTGCACAGTGTCCCTTTCTTTTTGATACCTTTGCTTTTGTATCTTGAAAAGGTAGATTTCAGGTGAGTAAATTTAATATTTTTTTTTTTAATGGGTTGTAAACAGTGAAAGATTTTTCTCCTTGATTGCTAAGCCACAGAGACCTTTTGAGCTGGTTTTATAGAGGTATTTAGGGAACAAATATCAGTGTTCTGTATGAGGGACATTTGTGCTGTGCTTGTAACAAACTCTGGATCTGTGATGCCAAAGAGCACATTCAGAACCATTCCTGTTATGCTGCTGTTACTTCATGGTGCTGATTTCAAATGTTCATGTTGCCATAAAAATCAAGGGATTAGTTGCTGGGGTTTTTTCATACTGATACCCAGAAGTAAAAATTAATAAATAGCCAAGATGTCACTGCCAAAAACTGTCCTGCATGGGTGTGCCAACGGAGCTGGAGTGTGGAAGGAGCCTCAGTGAAGAGCTGTGTGTGAACTTCGGGGCATTTGAGTGTTTCCAGTGTGAACTAAAGGGTACCAGAGGGGCTTTATTCTGGTTTGGATCCATGTCCAAGAAGGGTACATTTGTGTGGAACAGATGACAGAGCCCCTGGGCTGGGTGTGGAGAGCCTTTGTGGAACAGGGAGAATTGAGAAGGGTAAAAACTGTGGGAAGAGAGGGGCTCTGGAGAAATAACATCCATATGGAGTATGGTATTGAGTGCAAATATGGGTGGAATATGGTAAAGAGTTCAACAGAGGACTGGAAAAAAGGTCCAAACTGAATAATTGCACAGAATTGCATGAGTAAGCTTTTTGGCTTCTTTCTTCTTTGTGGCTGAATAGCAGAAAGAAACTAAAAATTAAATCCCCCTTGCAAAATTAACGACTTTCTGTTAAATACAGATATCCCTTTAAGTTCTTTTGCATCTGTTTTCTAAAACTAAAAATAAATTCAGCATTGTTCTCCTGAGGCCACAGTCCTTTCCATTTAGAGGTTTTTTAAGTCCTGTAAATTTATTTTTCATTGAGGCCTTGCAGTGCTGGATATTTAATTGTGCTGTGGTTTGCTGTTCCCTCTAGTGCTCTTTGCAGGAGGCTCTGAAACCCTCTGACAGTTCTTTGCTGACTCTGTCCCTGCTCTTTGCCCTCAGAATATGTGGCACTTAGGTTTGCCTGCTTGTTTCAAAGCTTGTAAAGGGAGACATGGGTGATGATTTACAAATAATGTTGATCCTGGAGAATTACAGCTGGGAAGAAAGCAGACATGGAAGAGCTGTAACTGAGGGGAATTCCCTGGTGGTGTGGAGCTCAGGGCTGCTGTCCCAGCCCTCTGGTGTCAATCAGCTCCTCGTTGTGGCACAAGAGCTCTAAAGCTCCTTTGGGTTTGGTGAGCGCCTTGGACTCCTGTTACCCCAAATCCCCTGGCAAAGCTCCCTGGCTGAGGGCAGCTCATGGGAGGAGCAGATTGTGTTGGCCACAGCAAAGCTCCTTCCTACGTGCCACGGAGCACTGGATCCCAGTGCTGCTGGGATGGGAGGGAAACAAACCTGGGGCCAACCTGGGCCCTGGGTCATCGGGATTACTCTGGAGCAGCCTTGGGAAAGCGAGAGATCTCTGTAGAGTGGGGATTTTCTGGCATACCTGCTGTTGGTATGGTGTGGGTTTGGGTTTTGGCAGGCTTAATGAAGCTGTTCAAGCCAGCAAAGCTTAAAATAAACCACTCAGTGTGTGTGTATGTTGTGCTCTCTGGGATGTTGGGTCCAGGTATCCTGTGTTTGTAAAGCACTTCTTTCCACACATCTTAAAAAAAAAAATCGTGAGCCTTTGGCTGCACTGCTGTGACTGTAACAACTGTGTATTAAGTCAGCCTAATAAAGCACAGATTTTAGTGGCAGCACGAGGCCAAATAGACAGGTAAGCACCCTCCATGTCCTGCAGTGCCAACTTGGTGTGTATTTGTTATAGTCCTGCTGTTCTGCTCCTGTTTGTTCAATGCAGAAGTGCACAGAGTTGGATCAGTGCCTAACTTTGTCATGCTGTAGTGTGTTACTGTTTGCTTTCAGATTTATATTGTCTTTAAAAGATAACAGACGTTTGATTTGAGAGGATGCCAACACGATTCTCCCATGTGAAGGAGTGCAGAGAAAGCACAGGACAGAGAGGGCAGGAAGTGCCCAAACACTGGAGAGATGGTGATGTCACCCTGGGGTTTTGGTACCTCTTGAGTCCTAAGCAATGGGGTGACTGAAATGCTTTACAAGAAGTGAGGTGTTGTCCTGTGTGTATTAAATATCTATTGGTAGTGGAGAGTGTGAATATATATGAAAAGCCAGTAATAAATAGTCCAAAACCCACTGGGAATCATCCTGCTGGAAGTGTGCTGGCCTTGCTGCACTGTGGGATCCTGCAAAGGTGGAAGCTTTGCCTTCTTTCAGGGGCTCTCTAAGCTGTGTTCCTTTTGTGTGTTCCACAGGAAGACGAGAAGTTTCTGTCTGAAGTTTTTGCACAATTAACAGATGAAGCTACAGATGATGACAAACGGTGTGAACTGGTGAGTCTGAGCTCGGGGGGGTCCCTCAGCCCTTAAATTGCAACCAGGAAACAGAAACAGTGGAACTGCTTTGCTGGTTTCTGTGGAATCACCCAGAATGCACACTCTGCTACAAACTGGAACTCTTTCCTCCTTCCAGAGGCTTGTCAGACTCATGCACCTGTAATTACATTTTCCCTGTGCAACAGGTGAACTTTTTCAAGGAGTTCTGCGCCTTCTCTCAGACGTTACAACCTCAGAACAGAGACGCGTTTTTCAAAACTTTGGCCAAGTTGGGAATTCTTCCAGCTCTTGAAATTGTCATGGTAAGTGAATGCCTGGGGCTGATTGCAATAAAATAGAGAAGGCCCCAGCCACTGCAGCAGGTCTGGGCTGTGCTGAGCAGCCCTGTGTCAGTGTGCTGGGCCAGCTCTGCCCTGCTGAGGCTGGAAGGTGACCGGGACATTCGGAATCTAAAGGCTGCCCCCAGCTCTGACCTGGGTGCTCTGGCCATTGTTAGTCTGCATGGCAGAGAAGTCTGATCAGTGCAGTCCTTGTGACAGAGGGCTGTAAAGATTGAAAGAGGCTCTTTTTTTCCTGTGGCAGCTCAATTGTTGTTGTTGTGGTTGTTGTTGGGACAGGGCCAAAGAAGTATTTTTAGATAATCTTGAACTGTGAGCTGGTCCCTGCCCGAAAGATCACGTAATCCTGTCATTAGCAGATTAATCTTTCCTAATCAGCAGTGGGAAAACATAATTTTTTTTTTCACTCTTTTGGTTGCAGCAGCTGTTGCTGCCTGACCATTGCAGTTCACCTTAGTGGTTTATTGTTGTTTTTCTGCAACCCTCTGACTGTGTTTCCCAGAGAAACTTCTGCGGTGAAACGTTCTCAAAACTTTCCAATCCCTCTCCTTTGCAGCTTTACTTGATAATAAATACCAATCTGAATTTGTTCTGACTAATGAACTACTTTTTTTTTTTTATTAGGGAATGGATGATCTGCAAGTTAGATCTGCTGCTACAGATATATTTTCTTATCTGGTAGAATTTAGCCCATCCATGGTCCGAGAATTTGTAATGCAAGAGGCCCAGCAGAGTGATGATGTAAGTGAAAGTGGTCCAGAGTTTGAATATACCAGTTTTAGAGCAAACAGGGGAAAAAACAAGCATATCCCAAATTCTGGAGAGGTTTAACCCAAAAATGTGAATATTAGAAACACAGGACAAAGTAGATTTAAAATACAGACATTAGTGAGCATGTTGGTGTTCCCTGAGTTCACAGTGTGACTAACAGGGATTGTGGGTGTGGAGAGTTGTGCTTGACAGAATTCCTGTATCCCAGTGTATCTCCATGCCTCAGTTTCACTTGAATTTGTCTTCTGAAAACCGACAGAAATTAGGGGAATTGCTTTCCACCCTTGGCTGTGTGTGTGACCGTGTTTGTCTGGGGTTTCTGTGCAGGACATCCTCCTCATCAACGTGGTCATCGAGCAGATGATCTGTGACACTGACCCGGAGCTGGGGGGAGCTGTGCAGCTCATGGGGCTGCTGAGGACCCTCATCGACCCCGAGAACATGCTGGCCACAGCCAATGTGAGCAAACACAGCTCTGCTGCCTGGGCAAAGTTAAAAACCTGTACTCTCTGTGTTTGGGCTGACAGGGAATTTTAACAAGCTAAACAACAAGCTGCAGCTTCCGTCAGCTTTTGATAATAAAACATATGGTTTTGGGGCATTGTACAGGTATTCATTAAACAAGTTTTGTCAAGCATTCCGAGTTAGTGATGTATTTCCAGCATATCTTTGCATGGTGGGGATTTTTTGATGACAGTTACCTTGGTTAGATGTCCCAAAATGAAAAGAACAGTCTCCCTTGAGCAAAGACAAATCTTGCAGGCCTGACTGGTAACATCCAGGCAGACCCAGAGGAGTCAGTGGAATTTTTTGTGGGCTGTCTCCCTTGTTACTGTTCTTTCTTATTTAAAAACTGATGCCAATGTTTAATAAGGTGATTTTTCTTTCAGAAAACAGAGAAAAGTGAGTTTCTCAACTTCTTCTACAACCATTGCATGCACGTGCTGACGGCGCCGCTGCTGGCCAACACGGCCCAGGAGAAGGGGGAGAAAGGTACTGCCCTGCTGTTAACCATGCTAATATTTATTGTTAACACCATTCTAATTTCATCAGTACAATTCTTAAGAACATTTGCTGTAAAGCAGGAGGTGTCTGTAGGTCACAGGGGCTTTTGTGCAAAAGTTTACAAAAGTGCTGTGAGAGTCCTTGGCGGTTTCGTGACTCAAAGCAGGGCAGCTTGGAACTCCCTCACCTTCTTTTCTCTTCAACTTTTCCTGGTGCCAGTTAAAGAATTGGAAATCTTTTGTTTGTTGCAGGCAAATAACACTCATTAGTTTGCCTCTAGTGCTTTACAAACAGGAATTTAACATGTCTTGATGCTGACTTTGTGAAGCCCCTTGCCTTGGACTTCATGAACACTCTTTCAAGAGATTAAATCAAACCAATACGTATTTGGTGAAAACATCTGTTTCATCTTCCCCATCTTCTCTTATGAAGTCCAAAAAAAAAAAATGTTTTGGCATTTTATACAAAAATAAACCTGGTAAAAACATCTGTTGTAGTGCTGAGTGTATTATTTGAAAAATTTAGACCAGGCACTTTATTCTGTGTAGGGATAATATTGTAAGTATCAGGTTCTGTACTTTCACCTCATTGGGGTTGGAAACTTTGTAATGTGAATTAAATATTATTTAATGTAAATTAAATCTACCCTGGCTACATCCTTGTTGCACATTGATTTCTGTATAGCTTCCAGGAACTTTTGATCTGGTGGAAAGTCTGACCATCTGTAGAACTGGTTATTTATCCCCATCTTTGAAATACTGACAGGGCTTTGAAAACCTTTTCCTGATGTTTTTTTCTGTTTTCTCTCGGTCAGATGCAGTAGTTGGATCCACTAAGAGTAATACAATTTGTCCTGGTAAGTTTTAATTGACTTGGAGTTTTGGAAGTTCCCTTGTTTGCTGTGTGTGGTATTTGAATAAAAGAGAAAGTTAGGTTTATTTCTTGTAATACATTTTATTGGAATAGATGTGGGCGCTTTGCTTCACTTGAGACAACTGGAAGCAACGCAGTAAAACCAAAATCCATTAAAAACTGTGTCAGGAACTGCAATAGCAGCTGAGCCTGGTGAGGGTTTGGTGCATGACTGCACATTGTTCATTTTGGTATCATTTAAGTGTTCATTTCCCTCACAGATAATTATCAAACGGCACAACTACTTGCCTTAATTCTGGAGCTGCTTACTTTTTGTGTGGAGCATCACACATATCACATCAAGAACTACATCATGAACAAAGATTTGCTGAGAAGAGTCCTGGTCTTGATGAATTCCAAACACACCTTCCTGGCCTTGTGTGAGTATGGAGCTGTTGATTTCCTCCTTCAAGCTCTGTGTGCACTTGGGGAAGGTGTTCCAGTGCCAGTGGGCACTTAAAATGCCTGGGAATTCCCTGTTTCCTGTTGACTCCTGCTGAGTAATTGCTGCTGGACTTTAGGCAGAGATCAGTGGTCCCTGATGGCTTTCTAACACCCAGGAAAGTGAGAGAAGGAAAAGGAAAGGTGACCTGTCAGCACCTGCTGCTGCTGCACTTGCCCAGGGTGCTCCTGGGTGCTCTTGGTTTGGGGTGCACCTTCCTCAGGGCAGCACCAGGCACGGGGTTAGTGAACCCTGGAATTGCTTTGCTCATGCAGGTGCTCTTCGCTTCATGAGGAGGATAATTGGGCTGAAGGATGAGTTCTACAACCGTTACATCACCAAGGGAAACCTCTTTGAGCCCGTGATCAACGCGCTGCTGGACAACGGCACCCGCTACAACCTGCTCAACTCTGCCGTCATCGAGCTCTTTGAGTTCATCCGGGTGGTGAGTCCTGCTCAGCCCTGACCCCTGGGGACATGGCAACCCTTCCCTTCCACCTAAAAGCCCTCCTGTACGTAAACATCCAGGTCAAGTGACCCCGTAACGTGCCCGCTGTATGTGACTGTCCCACCGCGGAGGGGGAGTGGGCCCTGCTGGTGTCAAACTGTCCTGGGGCTCAGTCCCGCTCAGGGCTTCCGTGTGCTGCTTCTGGACCAAACCTGGCACTGAGGAATGAAGGGAAATGTGTTGTATGGCGCTAAATCTGGGTATTAGTGGGTCTCAATGAGACTTATTTGGCTACAAACGTTGTCCTTGAAATCCTACACAAGTGTTTCCCTGGCCAGTGGCAGCTTTGAATCAGTGTGTGTGGGAACACTGTGTGTGTGGGCAGGACAGGCAGGAGCACCCAGCTCCTTGGGAAACAAGGACTTGGAGCAGCTCCTGAGCCACTGGCTGGGAGAGCCTCGATGTGTGGGAGGCTTTCCAGGGAATCTCTGCACCCTGGGAAAATGAAGGGCAGTTTTTACTCACAGGATACTGTAGCTGCTATCTTTTCCAGCAAGAAGAAAATTTGGAATATTAGGGTTTGATATGGTGACAGACTTGTTAGAGGGACACTGACCAAGAGGTGCCTTGTCCCATGGGAGCTGCTGTAGTTACTGAGTACTGGGAGAGCTGGAAGCTGCAGGGAGAGCAGGGCACAGCTATCCCAGATAAAACATCCTGGTTCATGAGAGCATCACAGTTTGCACTGGGACACTGCTGAGTATTGTCTGTGTCTGTGGGAAATTCAGTAATTATTTCTGGATCTCAGCTCTTTTATTGAAGATAAATCTGAATACTTCACGTTTGTACAATATTGTACGATAATATTTTGGTCCTAGGCAAGGAATCAGTTCCTTCCCAGACTAAACTCAAAAACTTTGAGCTCCTGCCTGTGACCACGTGGGACTGAAACCCTGTCTTGTTCTCCTGCAGGAAGACATTAAGTCCCTTATTGCACATATAGTTGAAAACTTCTACAATGCACTTGAATCTATTGAATATGTTCAGACATTCAAGGGACTGAAGACGAAGTACGAGCAAGAAAAAGACCGACAGACCCAGAAGCTGAACAGGTGGGCCCTGGTTTGTGTGCTCTGGGTCTGTCCCCAGGAGCTGGCACATCACTGCCAGCTGGGGTGGGGGGCCAAACTCCCCCTGGCAGTCTGGGAGCCGCTGCTGCTCCCCAGTGTGCCCCCAGCAGCAGAGCTGGAACCCCTGTGCTGTGTCTCTTGCAGTGTCCCCTCCATCCTGCGCAGCAACAGGTTCCGCAGGGACGCCCGAGCCTTGGAGGAGGACGAGGAGATGTGGTTCAACGAGGATGAGGAGGAAGAAGGAGAAGCTGTTGTCCCTCCAGTCGAGAAGTCAAAGCAGGAGGATGATTTCCCAGATAGCTATGAAAAATTTATGGAGACTAAAAAAGGTACTTACTCTGCTTGAGCTTGTTGGCACTGGAAGGGCTCCATGGCAGACCCGTGGATTGTGTTCTGCACCACGAGCAGCACTGAGGGTGTTGTGTGTCAGTCAGGCAGGAGATCTGAGCGTGTCTTTGCAAGCCAGTTCAGGGTTAAAATAACGAGTTAAACTGCTCTGGGCACGCGTTTAGTGTAAATGGCACTCAAAGGCAAGACTGTGCTTGTGTGCTCTGAGTGAGCCCTGGCCCTCAGCGTGTGGGCCCTGCTCAGTTTGCTGCTGAGGGCCCTGGGTGAGGCCGGATGGGGAACTGTCCATTTGGAGACAAAGGACAACCAAAAAACCCGTCGGCTCTCGCCCCGCGCTCGTGCTGTGATGCAGATGGTGCTCCTGGTGTGCAGCTGTTCCTAAGTGTGGCAATGTTTGTCCCTCAGCTAAGGAGAGCGAAGACAAAGAGAATCTTCCAAAAAGGACTTCAGCTGGGGGATTCAAATTCACTTTTTCCCACTCAGCCAGCGCAGCCAACGGTGCCAACGGTGCCAACAGTAAATCGGTGGCAGCTCAGACGTCCCCGGCGAGCTCCAACGGCTCCTCCTCCAAGAGCACGGCCCTGGCCCCGGCAGTGACGGCCCCCAAGGTGGGACAGGGGCACGGGGGGCTCAGCAAAACCCTGGGGGGGTTGGGGAGGGTTTAGGGAAGGGCTGGGTGGGACTGGAGCCCCTTGGTGTCCGGTGCCACGGTCTCATCCCGTGTTCTCCTCACGGCTTCACTGCTGCCGCTCCTCAGCTTGCTCCCTGCCCGGCCACTGCTCCATGTACAGGGGAGATTGGGGGATCTGCAGGCAGATCCTGGGTGGTTTTGAGCAGACAAGGGTGGTGATGGCCCCTCTGCGGTGCCTGGCACAGCCCTGCACTGTTGGAATCTCTGGCCCCTGAGCACCTATGGAAAAGTGGGGCAGGAATTTGATTGCCCACCCCAAAGCTGAGCAGCCAGAGGGCTCTCAGCGCACAGTGGATTTGTGCCCATCCAGCAGGGAGCTTCAGAAGGGGCTTCCAAACAATTGTGAGGCCAGACCCAGAGGAGTGAGGGGGCTCCAGTGCTTTTTGCAGCTTCAGGACCACTCCCCAGATAAATGGGCCTTGGAATGCCAAAGGCATCACCAGAAAACCCGCTGCTGCAGCCTGTGGTGTCCTGGCAGATGGGCTGGGGCTTGTCCTAAAATTGCACATTCCTTGGGGTTTTTTCAAGGTGAGAACTTCCTTTTTCCCTTTCTCTCCTTGGCAGGGAAGTCTAGTTGGCCTAGTGGATTATCCTGATGATGAAGATGATGATGAAGAGGAGGAGACATCTCCAAGGAAAAGACCTCGTCTGGGTTCATAAAAGAAACCAAAACTTTGGAATAAGAACTTTTCCTACGGGGTTTCAAATGCTGCAACTGTTTCAAGAGCTAAAAAGAGTCTGATTCAGAAAGCTTTCTCCCATGAGTAAATACGATAATACGAGGAGTAGCAAAAGAAACTCGGTGTATCAGCTAGAAAGGGTTAGTTCTGTAAACACAAAGCTTCCAAGGAACTTAATGTCTTTCTAGAGAGTAAGGAGTCTGCCATTCAGGCTGTCAAAAAAATGAAAAATGGAAAAAAAAAAAAAAAGTGGGTTAGTATTCTCAGAACCTGGATGATGGCTTCTCAGCAAGGAAAGTCTCAGGTGTTGGGAGGGCAGGGGGAGGGAAAGGTATGGTAATACTTTTTTTAAAATATATTGCAGGGTTTCCCCAGTGTTTAACAGAACTAGGAAAAAAAAAAATAAAAGTCGAGCTTAAATTTTGAACCCAGTAATCTTAATTTTGTAATGGTGCTGTCAGTTGTGTTCTTTTAGCAATGCCTCTTTTTAAAAACAATTTTAAGGGAAAACTAACTCTGTTTGCATAAGAACAATCCATGTTTTGGGACCATTTCTTACCAACTAAATGACATTTCTCATGGTTGGAGGGAGGGAGGCTGCAGTTCCAGTGCACGTGGAGTTGGTCGAACAGTTCAGGGGAGCTTTGATCTCTGTTTCCCCAGAGGAGAGAACGAAGCTGGATCCAGAGTGGGAGGTTTGGCTTGGCTTTTTGGGCTAGATAGTATCAGTAATATCAATGCCAAGGAGCAAAAGCTTCCCCAGTGTCTGCAGGAGCTGCTTGGTGCTGTCCATGGCACAGCCCAGAACTGCTGGCTTCGAGGTGGGCGAGGTCCCGAATTCCAGCCGCGCTCCCCGTCGCTCCAAGAGCTGCCTCAGCTGGAGCAGCCCCTGTGTGTGAGTTCACGTTGCAGGACTGAGGTGGGAATGAGAAACACTAACAGGCTTCTCCTCGGGAGGAATTAGAGCAGCAGGTCAACACCCAGGTCAGTGTGGACCAAGCTGGAATTATTGCCAAGAGAACACCGGGATCTGGGGCGGGATCAACAAGCAGCACCTGAACCTGGGTGGGACAGAAGCTGCTTTTTTAACAAACAAAAGCACATTCCACGTAGGTGACAGGGAGAGGGCAGTTGGGGGAGGCAAACAGTCCAGGTTTTATTTTGCAGAGCAGCACGTGAACTGTAAATATTTTAATGTTAGTTTGCCCATTGTGATCCGAGATCATGGCAGAGCGAGAGGAAATTTCCCAAGTGTTAAAGGATGGAACCAGCTGCAATCCACCACATAGGTCACTCTTGTAATACGTGTTATGGGTCCATTTCTCCTGGAATAGTTTAAACTGAAGCAGTTTCTCTGTTTTGGAGATTTTTTTTTTTTTTGTAGTTTTAATTTTAGCTCTTGTTTGGAAAAAGATGGGCTGTCTGTGTAGATATGAAGTATAGTTTTTTTCCATAAAACAGAAGTTTATTTTGTATTAAAGATACCACTGTACTTGTTTTACACCATTTGTATACATGTGGTGATATTAATGCCGAACTGTAAAATTCAGGAATTAAAATGTGACCCTGTAATTCCATAATTACTGCTTTTGTTTGGTTTGTTACACGGGGCGAGTGAACTGTGGCCGTTTTAGGGCGCTGTTTGAGATGAGTTGTCCTTGCAGTTCCAACAGTCCAGCACTAGCTGGGATCCCAGTGGGAAGGTGTGAGCTCCTGGATGGACCTGGGGCCAGTGGTGCTGCCCCTGAGGGCTCCAGTTCCCCCCAGCTGGGACTCCTTGTTTCCACCCATGGGATGGAGCAGCTCCGGCTCTGAGGAAGCGTTTGCTGGGAAAGTGGAGCTGCAGCCTCACCGTCCCCACCTGCCTCTGGCTTTGCTTCCCCAGGGAAGAGGAACTTCCTCAGCAACTGCCCGGCCCCGGAGCAGCAGCTGCACTGGATGTGCCTTCACCTTCTGCACCCCTGGAGTGACCTGTGTGTCCTGAGCCTCTGGAACAGCCACCCCAGCCCAGGGCTCCAGGGAAGCTCAGCCCTGACCCTGCTCTCACCCCCAAGGCCTCGCTGAAGCACCGGCAGGAGCTTCACAGACAGACCCACAGGAGGTTTTTTTACAGCAACACCACGGATGTCACGAGTTTTTGCAGGAGCCAAGTGCCATGAGCTGTCCCACTGAAGCCACCCAACAGTCCCAGGAGGTGACACTCGGCTGTCACCCCTCAGTGCTGGTTCCCCCAGCCCCCTGTGTTCCCCTGCCTGGGGCCCTCCCACTACCCCCATTCTGGAGGAGAACAGAGCACCTGCCAACTGTACCAGTTATAAATGCTATTTTAATAAAAATTACGTGGAACCTGACCAGGTGGGTTTGTCTCTTTTCCTGTGGGTTGCTGGGGCAGTCAGGGGGGTGATGTCCTGGGCAAAGGGGGGGGCCTCTTTCCCCACTTCCAGTGTCTCAAGGCCAAACCAGTAAAGGATTTTAAACGATTTCTCCTACTCTGGAAGGGAGTTGCTGGGGACAGCCCCGACTTTGCAACTGAAGCAATTCCTTTAACTTAAAGTTGTGTTTGTAGCAAACTTGGGCCCTGGGGCTGGTGAAGTGCCCCAGCAGCCTGTAAAAGGCTGTGAGCTGGAGTTCATTCTTACACCCCAAAGCTGCACTACCTTTCTTAAAAATGAGGTGGCCAAGGTTGCACTTCCTTGGGGAATTGGACTTTATTACGTTGCACAGCTGCCAAAGAGTGATTTTATAACAGGCTAATAAAAGGACCATGTTCTGTACTGTTAAAAATGCCAAAGTTACAATGTCTAGCTCTGACTTGTTGCCACAGGAATGACTTCACCTGCTCTCCCTCCATCTCTGCTTCCCTTCTCCAGGCTCTGCAGAGGCCGGGGCAGGGCTGGGCACTGCAGGGTGTCCCAGGGCCTCGCTGCTGGACAGCCAGGGAATTCCCAGCGCTTGGAAAAGGAGAGCTCGTGCTGTGTGTCAGTGTAACCGAAATACTGATTTACCAAGGACGGAGCTGCTTGTCTGAGACTTCTATAAAGCTAAAGGGTGAGACTGGAAACCAAACCCCCTCACTCAGTGATGATAGAATTTGTTCTAAGAACACCCTTCTGTTCCTGGGGCCTGCAAGGAGCTCTTAAAGCTATCGCTTATTAATAACCTCTTCTTTTAGTTTCTCTGCCAGCATCTTCCTCTTCTGGAGCAACCTCTGCTTCTCTTCTGACACTTCCTAAACAAAGGGAAAAGGACAGGCCATGAGCAGCTTCCCTGGCAGGGAACAGGGAGCAGAGGGGGAATGGGGCTCCTGACACCACCCTGCCTTTGCCATTTCATCAGCAAAAACATCCCCGAGGGCTGGGGGAGCCCAACCAGGACACAGACTAAGAGCAAACAGGCATTTTATCCACTCAGAAACTGAGATGAATCATCAGGGTTTGGTGGTCCTGAAGCAAACCAATGCCAACTGATCACTGAAAACTTCCAGCCCAAAGCTTCTGCAAACCCAGTGAAAATACTGGAAATATTTCCTCTCTCCTTCCCCCTCCTGCTGTTTTTGACCCTGCCCCACTGTCCAGCAGCAGCATCAACACCTGCCCTGGGGGTTTGTGACTGAAGTGTGGGAGTGCTTCACCTGTCTGGGTGTCTCCTCCTCTTTCTGGTCTGTGGTTGGGGGGGTTGGTGCCCTGGTTTTGGACTCTTTCTTCGTGGCCAGCAGCAGGTCTCTTTTTTTCTTCAGATATTCCTCGCGTTGCTTCAGCTCCTGTTGTTCGGTTTCTGATAAACTCTGGGGGGGAGGAAAGATTTAAACCACGTGTTGAAATTTTGGTATCGATGCCCTGTGCAAGAAAAGCATTTACACCCCATTTGCCTCCAAAATTATCAGCTGAGAACAAACCCAAGTTGAGTCTTCAAGCCAGAGCTGTCTCCTAAGAAATTATCACGGCACTGAGGCTGAATCCTGCTCTGAAAGCAGAATCACAAGCTGAACCCTGCTAATTAAACTGGGAATATCAGCAAAAGTCTTTGCATGCTGGTTTTAGAAGAAAATTAAACTAACCCAAAGCAACCTGATTACAAGAATGGAAACAACACTGTCTAAAGTGTATATTCCACTTGTAATCCTGCTCTTGGCCCTGCAGTTCCACGTTTGGGGTTTATTCTTGTTTGGTTTAGACTTACAGGCCCTTTCAGCCCAGCTTTCTGTGCTGTGTTCTCTGAGTGTTTCCCAGGCCTCTTCTTAGTGTCTTCTTTCCCCTTGGCACAGGAAGGCTGAGGTAAGTTTTCAGTTCCTTTTTGTACTGGGCAGGCTGGTTTTAGGTCTTCCTTCGGAGGTTTATGAGATCCCTCTAAGGAATTTTACAGAGAAATTGGAAAGAAGAGAAATGAGATAAAAATAACAAATCGGTGTTTCTTCCACTATCCAGGTGTGTCTCTCATGAAATGGAAAACTTTAAAAAAAAGGCACATTTCTCCCCTTTTTTCCTGAGGTGGGAGCCAAAGCCTCTCCAGTGACCAGGCAGGGGAGCAGGGGGTGTTCCAGAACTCTCCTGAGACTCCTCTGGACCAGAACTCCTCCCAGGTGAGGTGAGGTGCTGCTCCTGCTATTCTTTTGTTATTAATGAAGAGCCCTGTGACTGTGCCGTCCTGTCTGCCTGAAGGTGTTCATACAGATGCAAGAAAACAGGTGGGGAAATACCAGTTTGACTCTGTTCACTCAGTTTGAGTCTATCCATAACAACTGTATGTTGGAAAGTGTCACAATCCCACCCAAAACCGAAAATGTAACGTTGAAAAGATTAAAATGAGTAACTAAAGGATTCAGTTTGGTGGGCTGTGAATGACCCTTAACAGTTGAAGGCTGGTTCCTTCAGAAATATTTGCTGTCAGGAACTGGTGTGCAATTGTAAATTCAATGTGTAAATTCAGTGTATAAAGGGAGAGAGGGCAGAGCTTTTTGAGTGGATGATTCAGAGTTGCTTGCAGGGAACTTGCTGCTCTTATGGTGGCACAAGCACAGTGAGTTCAAAGATAAAAACTGCTGTTGGACTCCTCTATTTCTCCTCCACTTGGAGAAGACTTGGAACATCTTGGAATACTTAAAGGCCCCGGGTTGGGAGGGATTCCTGCAGGGCACCCTGTGCCAACACCCTGCTCAGAGCTGGGGTGTTTTACCCACAGCCTGAAAATCTTGACATGAGTGGGCTCTTGCATAATTTAAACCCCAGCTCATATTGCACACTCAGCACTGCACACACACCTAAAATTACCTGGGGGACATCTGGGAGTTTCTGCAGCACCCTCAGCTCCCTCTGTGGATTCCTTCACTTTGACAGCTCCTCTTGAATTCCCTGGCAAACTGTGGGTGGCATCTGGTGCTCTGAGTTTAGCTTGTGCCTGAAATCAGAAATCAAGGAAATCAAACCAGGAGTTACAGCCCCTTGCACTGCACTGTCCACACTAGGAAAGCTCCCAGAAGAACTTCCAGGTAAAACTGTGTTATTTTACCTTACACACATCCCAATCCACCTCTTGGAGCAGTTAAGCCAGCTGGGATTTACCCAGAAAACGTCTACACTGTTCATCAACCATCTAATCCATGCCAGAGCCCCTCAGAAGTCACTAAAATATGGAATTATTTTGTACTAAAACACCCTCCAAACAACAAATGCATCACTGAACACTATCACAACCTGGCACTTTTAGGAAGAACAGTGATATCCCTGGATAAAGCTGCCTGCTTTCCCAGGGGAGGGGGGGTATTGCCATGACTCCAATCCCCTTTTCCACGTGGTTGGCTCTGCAGGACACCCAGGGCTGGGCTCCTGGAGGGGGTTTCTGGGTGCTGGGGATTAGTTCTGGCAGTGCCGTGGGCACTCCATGAAAACTCTCCTGTCCCTGAAGGGATCCTGGAGGTAATTCCTGCAGGATTAGGGATGCTGTCATCCCCAGGCAGCTCGTGCTTTGAAGTCTCTTTGATCCTGACAATATCAGTAATTCCCATGTTCTCTGGGCCTCAAAGGTTGACATCTGTTCCCAGGATTTTAGGATTCGGGGACTGAGGGGGGAATGGGGTTGTCATGGGATACGTGTCCTGATGGCACACTTGGAGTGATCCAGTCACAGCCAGGACAGGAATGTTGGGGTATTCCTTAATTCTAACTCCTAACTTACCCAAAAAGGTCAGGTACTCACCTCCTCAGTCCTCTTTCTTTCCTGCTCTAGGTCATATTCTTCCTTGGATTTTCTGTAACACAGAGCACAAGTAAATACTCAGAACTCATTTAGTTTTAGTGATTTTTAGGTAAATTTAGTGTTGCTTAAATATTCGAGGACTATTTGGATACGGATATTTATTAGTATCCAAAATATTTCCATGACTTCAGTGAAAACACACTCTTAATAGAAGTTAATAACTGGGAGAAGCACACAAACCCCACTGCCCTCTTTCCCTGTGCACAAATAACTGTGTAGGAATTCCCTGAGCTTTTCTATCCCTGGTTTAAAGACAGGAAGGGAAGTATTTCCAGGATGCAGAGGGAAAGCAGCACCATCCAATACAACCTGGATTTGTTTAAATCCCTGTGAGCTGGGAGTGGGGGCTTTTGAGGATATCATTTGTTCAGCAGGATTTTGACAAGAACATTCCTGCCATCAGGAAGATGAAGGCAGTTTCCTGGGAAAGGCTGGAAGAGTCAGGTCCTACAGGCCTTTATTTCTTGTTTTAACAAAACACCCAAGGCAGGAGGGATTTGTTTCTCACCTGAGAACCTCCTTGAGTATTTTCATTTCTTCTTGCTCAATCTCACTGAACACATCAGAACCCTCTGTCAGACACTCAGGCAACACACCTGGAAAAAAAATAGGGGAAAAGATTATGTCTTGCTATAAAGGAAATGATTTTGTGCTTCAATGGGCAGAGAGAAGGAAAAAAAAATCCAAAAAAAAAGCAAACACAGGAAAACCACATCCACAAACCCAAAGCCATCTAATCCTTCCTCTCTGTAACTGTTTCCAAAGGGGTCCTGGCTGATCCTGGAGGTCCTGGCAGCACAAAGGCAAAGGTTTCTGCCTATGGAAGTTGGGACATGCCAGGTAAAGCCAAGCTCTGTGCTGGCCAACTGAATCACTCCCAAATTTAGCTGTTATATGGAAGGGGACATTTAGAAATGATTCCCTGAGAAACAGGAGGCAAACCCAAATGGTGACACTACAGACACGGAAGAAAGGAGCAGGGAGATGAAAATCCTTTCAGGAACATCAGCAGAGCAGCAAAGCCTGGTGTGGATTATCTTCCTTATCTCCTTTTTCAGGTGTGCATTAGCATGGGGAAGGCTTTAGCTCCTGGTTTCCCTGTGGATTTTTCAGGGTGAAGTGCAGAGTAAGCACAGCAGGCAGTTCAGCAGAATTCAAATGATCTGCATTGGCATGTTTGAGGAACTCATGGCTCCAGCACTCACAATTGTCACCAACATTCTGTAACCAACAACTCAGTCAAGTCTCACAGAGGAACTCAGACAAGCAGAAGTGAAAAATGTGTTAAGTTTATAAACACAGGCAGCTGGCACTGGGAATGCAGGCCAAGGACTGAGGATTGAAATCCCAGTCCCAGTAACACCAACTGAATGTTTCCCAGTGACCTGAGCTGGGACAGAACCACAATTCCACACTCATTTTGAATGGATTAAACAGCCCCCAGAAGAACTCTGAAACCCTGAAGGGGCACCCCCCCTTCACCCCTTCTCACCATTCCTCTCTTTGATGATCCGAATGGCTTGCAGTTGCATTTCAATGTTTTTCTGCACCATCATTTTTTTAAATAGCCTAAAATCCTCTGCTGCCAACACTGTCTGCAGGATGGCCTGGGGGGGGAAAACACACCAAAATCAGACCCTGCAGGAACCACAGCCAGCTCAGCCTGCCTGCAATCACACTGACACATTCTGGTTTGAAGAGTCTAATATTTCATTCTCTTACCTGTCTGTTTTTCCCAGACATACAGTAATAGTCAGGAAAAGAATTTGGTGGGTCATGCCTTTAGATGAACGTGTCTACAATAATATTATGACAAAACCGAGTTTCCCAGTGTAAGTTTGCAGCTGTAAGTCGTTTGAAAGTTCCAGTTTTAACAAGAAAGCTTTTCCAAGCTCCATCTCCCCCCAGCTGTACTAGTGCAAACATAAAGCTAAGAATGAAATCTAAATCACAAAGCTGAGAATTAATCTGTTTGCTTGAGGAAGGCAAATACCTGTGAGGTGTGAGTCTTTGCAAGTGGGGATGAAAAAGCCTCTTGAAACTTCTCCTCATTGATTCCAACCTCTTTGAGATAGTCCTCTAGCAACCTCTCCACCTGGAAGGAAGGACAAGCCTCACTCTGTCAGCTTTTTCCCTAAGAACCACGTGAATTTTTGTCATGACTGCATGTTCTTTTCTGCTGGGGTGCTTCTTAAACTCACAGGAGAATCATCACAACAGTGCAACTCATTTTTTCTGATGGATGCTGGCTCGTGTTTATCCAACTGATGCTTTTTAACATCAAGCCTCGTTACAAAAAGAGTGTTTTGGAAATCTGCAAGCGTTGGTTTATAGGCATTTAAGCTCAAAAAAAAATCCTGTCATTTCTTTCTGCCAACTGAAATTTGTCAGAAGATTTCCCAGACTCCCCAGTGAACAAAATACAAGTTGTGTGTGTTCTCAGACTTCCTGCTCTTTGTCATTTTAACTTGACAGAAAATAACATCACTGCCTTCGAGACTGTATTTATAAGCTTGGTAGATATGTTAATTTTAATTAAAAAGGTAGCACAGTGTAAGATATGAGTGTGTCACAGTCTCTTTTCTACCTATCTGGTGTCTAAGCATGAAAGCACAAAGGACAACGAGAGCTCAAAGGATTTCTAAATAACAAGCAATCTCTAAATAACAAAGATAACCCGATGAGAAGTTCAGCTAAACAATGATTTAACATTTTAAATCGGTTTTCTTAGAAATTTCCCCCCAGCAGTGAATGATGCTCACCAGAGCTTGGTACTCCTGATAAATCTCTGTGTAAGACAACTTGCTTTCTTCTTCATCATCAAAAACTGGGGGAGGGAGGGAGGAAGAAACATTTTCCAGTCAGTGTACACAGCGCCACAAATTAACTGATGCCTTAAACAGAGACATTAACCTTTACAAGGGAATATATTCAACATGTTTAATCACGTGAAAATATGATTAATGATTTATTACAGTCATGTGTTTCTCCCCCACACTCAGGGCAAGCATGTGCTTTTGGTAATTTAATGTAATTAAGTGTCATGATTTAATATTGGGGAAATGTATCTTCCTAATAGACTTGTAAGTTGAGGACTGAGCAGCTACATTCACTGAAAATTAAGATTTAATAGAGGAACTACCACAGGAACCTGTGTAGGGGTGTTCCAAGGTGACAGATGACACACAGAGCAGGGAATTTCTCTCTCTCCATCTATTTACATGGAGAATGGGTTAATGAATGACTTAAACCGAGATTTTTTTAAATGTCAGTGTTTTAGCCAAGGTGATGCAGGACAATGAGCCCCTGCCTGCATAAAACCAGGCAAACCCAAAGAGGAAATGTGGTGAAGTTCTGTTTTAATCCTGTTTGCATAAACCCATCAAGAACTCCTGAGTGGAACTATCAGGCTCATGATCTCCACCCCGCAGAGGAGGTGGAAGGAGCAGAATGCCAGGGAAGCTGAAAACTAAGGGGTTTTTTTTTTGGGGGGGGGGGGTTAATTTACATTTTTTTCCTGCCAACAAAGAAGAGAGGTAATGTAAAACCTGGCAATTAAAGCAGAGGCTTAGAAATAAGGCTGCCTCAATCCCCTTCAGGATTAGCCGCTCCGTGTCCGACAAGTCACTTCCCGGGAGCATCCTTTGAAGTGGTTGGAGGAATATGGGAATTCTGCTGGAACTGGTGGACGAGGGTGGTTTAATCTTCACATGTATTTGACATCCCTGATGGGGCTGATGCCCACGGAATTAGTGTGACCTTCACCCACATCTGGGGTGACTCTGTGAGCTCCTCCGGTGCCTTTCCCGGGCTGGGAGTGCCCTGAGCCTGGAGGAGGTGGCAGTTCCCAAAGCAGGAGGCACTGCCACCACTTCCTAACCCCTCCCAGCAAGTGCAGGGAGAGAAATCCAATCACACACTTCAGGCCCCATAATAAGCAAAGAAAACTTGCTTTTTAATCAGAATCTGGAACAGCGACGTCGCTTTTGGTTTTTTTTGCACGAGGCGACGATTTTAATGAAGACATTAAAAAAAATTTAAAAATCAAAGTCATTTAAAACATCTAATAATAAATTCAAATGGTAGGTACAAATCTTACTCCCCTGGCAACCACCACATTCCCAAAGCCAAGAGGGTGGAGACATTTGACAGCCCCTGTTGCCTCCTTCACCTCCTCCCCTCCTGGGATCCCTCACAGCCCTTTGCAGACCCCGACCTTCCCCTCTGGCTTCCCTGGTCCCTTTGTCCTGGGTGACACAGGGCTGTGCTCTGTCCTCAGGCTCAGGACACGCTGGGATGAAGTTCAGTGCCACGTGCAGGGAGCTGCAGTCAGCATCTCCTCCCAGCTAAGTGGCATTAGGAGCGCTTGGAACGGAGACCTTGGATTTCATTGACTCAGGGCTCTTAAATCACACAGTCATTGTTCCTTTAGGGTTTTGGCACAGAGCCTTTGGTTGCCCAACAGCAACACACATCTGAAGAACCACCCTGTCACGACAAGCCAGGGGACCCTGATATCCCGGGAGACAAGCTCACCATTTTCCTGCTAAAACTGAAAATCCTGCCCAGGACCCCTCAAATGGGATGAGCTCAAGTCAAGTTTGGTTTGAGTCCCGGGCTGGTGAGGTGGTTCTGTGCTGGGAGGGAGTCACAGGCCACAGGGGCTGTTTATTCCTTTTGTACCTTTATCTGCTGGTGCTCAGAACGATTAGCAAGCTTAGTTATGCCCAAATGATGTTTCAGTGAGCACCTTGGAACATCTGAGTAAAACCAGAAAGCCTTCTTCCCCTAAATACACACCCATCGATTCAAGTGCAGTTCCACATCAAAGGAAATCAGTGCAGCCATAAGAAATTATGGGAGAGGGAAAGCAAACAGCCAGGAACAGACAGAAAACCATTATGATCATTTACAAGCTGAAGTGCAAGGACTAGGCCCAAGTAACTACAGTTCCAAAATTAATTCCTTACACACCAACTCGCCAAAATTCACATGGTATTTTCAAGCAATCACAAATTATTGTCAGTTGATGACAATGTTGCTAATTTGCCTGTCCAGCCCAAAGACCGAATGTTTTGGCAACGTGAAGAACTGTGCCCTGACAAAGTCTGTGGGTGCAAGGGCAGCAGTGGGATCAGCCCAGCAGAAGGCCCCATCCCAGCCCTGGAAAATTACAGCGGGCCCACAATCTTCTTACTGCCTGCAAATTCCCCTCAACCTTCTAAAGAGAGATCATCGCTCCCGAGAGGGATAAATCAATTCCCTGGACACCTAAACCTACACCCTTCGCATGAGACCACAGTGCTTCGCCAACTTTAGGCAGACTTCCCAGGAGAGCACTTCCAGGCTGGATTGCCCTATCCCTTCCCACCTTCAGCAGCTTTCCCTCCCTCATTTCCTGCTATAGTAGGGCAAGGTGTACAGCCCCAGGGTGATCGTGCCTCAGGTAAAGCTTGGGAGGAGGAGAAATGATTCCGGGTAACTGAGAAGCAATTTTTGTCAATAATCTCAAATTAAAGCTTCCTTCGGTTTCCAAAGGGTTTAGGCACTGCTTTCAGACTTGCCCACATTGTCTCTATTCTGGTACCATAAGGCTCCAGGTTTTCTTTGGGCAGCAGAAATTGTTCTGTGAGCAGCAGAAGTAATTTAGCCAAATCTCTACATCAGGGAGTGTTTCCTCCTTCCCTCACTACAGACACACCTGGACAGGTCTCCCCGGGCTACAGGGTGATCCCAGGTCCCCCTCACTGCCTGGACTTCCACTCTTCCAGGCTGTTCCCCAAGTTCTTCCTTGATTCCCTCTGTTCCTTCTTGAGGAAGAAAAGCAGGTTTAACTGGAGTTGCTTCCGAGCTAAACTCACGCACAGAACCAACTACAACACACGACTGGTACCCACTGATTTTTAGTGCTGACTGTCATTTCTGGGAGGCACTAATTGAGGGCTTCTCACCTCTGAACTGACAACGTTCACATAACTGCAGGAACTTAACTTTGGGCCTTCTCCTCCTCTGTCCCACGGGCCAGGCGGCGCTTCTGGCTGTCCTGCCCGGTTTCCCACGGAAAACCCGCAGCTGCGGGAAAGCCTCGGAGGCCGAGCGGGGCGCAGCTCTCGCCCGGTGTCAGCCGTAAGCTCCCGCCGTAATCCCAGGACGATCTAATGGATGCGAGTCCTGGCACGGGGCTGGCTCGGGGGCCGGCGCGGGCCCCGGGAGCGCCCGGCGGGAGCCGCGCCCGTTCCCGCACAGCCCCGGGCACCGGGGGGACCCCGCGGAGCGGGGACAGAGCCCGCGGGGCGATCGGGGACCCGCCCGGCCCGCCCGCCCGGCCCGGCGCTCACCCTCGCAGTTGTGCTCCATGAACTCCAGGATGGGGATGGACCAGGCGGGCCCCCGCAGGAACCCGGCGATCGTGTCCACCACCCACTCCACGTCGTCCTCCTCCTCCGCCGCCATGGCCGGCGGCGCGGCCGCGATGGCCACCGGCGTCACGGGGCGGGACCGCCCGCACCGGGGCCGCCCTCGCCGCATTCCCTGGAATCCGCCCGGCGGGAAGGAGGCCCGGCAGCCGCTCGGCACGGCGGGCTTACCTGGCGCAGGTGGGCGCCGGGCCCGCGCGGCAGCAGGAGGGGTGGGCACCGGGGGGAAGGTGGGCTGGCTCCCGCTCCATCATCCCGCTCCATCGTCCCGCTCCATCGTCCCGCTCCATCGTCCCGCTCCATCAATCATCCCGCGGCATCCCGGCCGGCCGATCGTGGGCGCCCCGCACCACTGGAACAGAAGGAATTAGTGACTGCAGTGCTCGGCACTCCCCAGACTCCGAGGGCAGAGTCACCCAGCGCGGCACAACAGGTTGCTCAGCCAGGCTGCGGCTTCCCTGTGTTTGGGGATAACCGGGATGCGATGGGATACGGCCCCGCGCCCCCCGGAGACTCCCAGCTGTTATAATGCCTCTGTCACAGTGTCACAGCACAGTCGAGGATGGGCTTATGCATTCAGTTTTTCTAAGGATGATCCCGGGTGATGGAAAATTCCCGTTATCCCCCATTTTACCGCGCCCGGAGTGCAGTGACAGCGTGCAGCAAACGATACCTCGCGTGTGCCTTGTTGGCTGCTGTACCTGGTGCTCTAATTCTAATTAATTGGTCGCTCACCAGGCCTTCGTGGGAACAGGGATAATTTGTAACTCGGTAATATTGTAAATACCCTACGGTGAAAGAACTGGGAAGTGATTTACAAGGCTACAGGTACAAAGGTTTACATTGACACTCCATTATCGGGGGGGTTTGTAGGGCTGCTGGTTGTGGCACGTTTCTCCACTAAAATTAAGGTTATTTCTCTCACTGTCCTCGCCTGTTACACTGCTCAGGGACTGGGAAGTTTTTCCCAACATTGACATTTATTTCCCTCCTAATGCTGGATGAATGGTGCCTTACTGGTGTGTCACTGGCAAGTGAAAAACCTCCAAAATAACCAAAACTCTTTGAAACCCCCTCATCCCTTTCAAAAAGATGTTCATGGCCATTTTATCCCCTCACAGGGGACTGCCCAATATTGTCACGTTGTGCCCTTTGTTGTCAGGGCAAACACTGGAGTTGTGGTTGTTAACAACACAAGAGATGAAGCAGGAAATGATCCCTGTCTGAGTCACAGAGAAATTATTGCTTATTTTTTCTGTTTTCTGCGAACAAGTTGCTATTTCAGACATTTTGACACATTCTTGGGTCATTGCTTTATGCATATATATATATATAAATATATTAAAAAAATATAAATACTGATGGGTAAATTTTGTCAAGGCCTTTCCAGTCTCTGCATTCCACTGAATTCTTTATGTCAGTGCCCAGCTCTCTTCCCTCCAGTGGGTTCCACTCATATGCACAATAACAAGGAAGTCTGAAATGCCAAAATCTTGGGAATATCTGACTTCTTAGTGGTGAACGTCACTGTTGATCTATTGCTGCGTTTCTAAATTTATTTATCTATTTATAAACAAAAAAAAAAGAGGCAAAAAAAGTGAGCAGATGAGCTTTCAGCCTTTGGCAAAGCAATAGTTTTTACATTACCTTTAATTTCTTCCATCTGGATAATTTTGCAGATGTTTGAGTAGTTTAAAGGATATTGGCAAATGGTTAAATGGTCTTATTATTAATTACTCTTTTGTTTAGGCTTTAATTCTTCCATCCACCTGTTTTTTAATTGTTTTCCAGCTGCAACAGCTATAAATATTTTCGCCTTAGTAAACCTGATACAACTTTTCCAGTTTGTTTTCATAAATTTTCATTTGGGAGGGGTTCATTTTAGGGAATAAGTCTACCTTTGGAAGGAAATTCTAGAACTGTGGTGTAAGTCTGACCTCAAAGAGAACCCCGAGCTCAAGTTTCTGGAAACCTGTGGAGCAAAGGCCTTTTTCTTCAGTTCAGCACACAGAGCTAAATGTGAGTTTTGCATGAAAGGTCACAAGTTAAAATACTGCTTGGTTTGGGTTTGTTGGCCATTACTTATTGATGAGGTTTTTTGGTTAAATATGTTACACTTCAGGGACTTCCCTGTGCTTTAGTCAAAGCTCAAACAGAAGAGAAATGCAAACACGAAGAAGTGCTTGAAGTCAAGCAGTGGATCCCGAGTTATCCTCATTTTCCTGCCCTCAGGGATGTTGAGCTCCTGCAGGAACTTGTGAAGCTCTTCCTATTTAGGTCATTTTCTTTCCTTTTATAAAGGCTTATCTTTTCCCTTGGCACTGGGAGGTTTTACACAAATGTAAGGCTGTTTCCTGAGAATCCCCTCTGCCTGAGAGGCCATTCCTAATGTAATTATCTAACAATAAGCACATGCCATTGCTTCTCATCTAATAATGATTCTTAGCTAAATTATCTAATCTTAAAAGCATCTCAAGTGTCCAACATCTAAAGCTTTCACTGTATGACTTGTGGATATAAGAGATACTAAAACTACAAGAACACTTATTTCTTCCCTCTTTTATGTTTTTTTTTTCTATACTTGCCATTTTAACCATGCTCGTTTTATCCACACATTTATCCAAAAGTCTATCCATAAATTTGATTTCTTCTATTTTCCTGATGCAAATTTTGCTCTTCATTTACCAACAGTTGGATTTATTCCCACATATACGTGTATATTTTCCATGGGGATTTTCTCCATGCATTGACCGAGTATTTTAGCAGCATTTGAGTAATTGCTGCAGTGCTTTCACCATTATTTTTCCTGGGCTGTCTGCACCTCTTGAATTCTAAAAAGCCTTGAAATGATGTGGATTTTTCTGTGCAGCTTCAGTTGTTATTGATGGAAGATGAACTAGAGCAAGGTGAAGTCTTGTGGTTTGATTTGAAGCCTGTGAGCTTTGTTACTCTAATCTCTTCTGGCACCAAGTTCTCCAGCCTTGAGTAGGTTAAAAAGGGAAAAGGAAAAGGGAAAAGGAAAAGCTCTGTGACCTTTATTTGGAAGTGGGTAATTCCACTGAACCAGGAAAAGCTGCATCTGGAGTACAAAATGGTCTCAGTAAGGGTGTGAGAGCTTTTCCTGGTTCTGTGGAATTACCCACTTCCAAATAAAGGTCACAGAGCTTTTCCTTTTTCCTTTTCCTTTTATTCAGGCACCAGAACAGATCTGAAGGCTGCCCAGCCTTGGGGTTTCCTTGTCTGCCCAGTGCAAGGGGGAATTAATTAGTTTGGGACATGAGGTTGGTTGGAGTCTTTTAGTGTCACTGCAGGGCTTGGCTTTCAACAAGGCATTTACAGACAAAAGTGCTCCTTCTGGGGGCTCTGTGGAAGGGACTGAAGGAGAGTTTGCATTTCTGAGTTTTATTATCCACATGTTTCAGTTGCCCCCAAGAACTTTGGCTAATTGCAATGTATTCTTGGTTATAAAAGCCAAAAAAAACCCCAAAAACCAAAAGACAATGCATTGGAACTGTGCTTTCTGCTGCAGAAACAGAGAAATCAACGGGATGGACAAGGAAGAAATCCTTCTGTGGAGATACAGATGGAAGTGGTTTGTACAGAGCATGTCTGTCCTGTCCCGTGGGTTTCAGATGATGGAACCTGGAGCACGTGGGATATCGGGATAATTATGCAAATTAGCTGGGCAGATTACACACAGTAGAGAGCAGGACCCGATCCCATTTCCCAGCGTGTGTTATCTGTCACATCCCAGGTGCAGAAGAGGTTCCGTGCTCACCGCTGGGATGAAGCCACGTGTTCAGGGTGACACAGCAGTGTCAGGGTGACTTGTTTTGGGATCTGAGCACAGCCCCAAATTCCAAACTCCTCCCCCCACCCCACCAACTCATCCCTGCTGCAATTGGCCTCCCAACAGCTTTCAGGTGAGGGGCACCGGGCAATGAGGGCTTTGCCACCACAGCCAGCACTGGGAAGAGTAAAGGTGCTGCTGCTTCACTCCTGCTCTGCCATTTCTTTTTATTTTCTGTGCCTGTGGCCACAGGAAGGCACAAAAAACAGAGGTGGGAGATGCAGCTGGAGCTTTTTCCAGCTTTATAAACAGGTTAAATGATAGCAGCACTAGCAGGGCTGTTCCTACTTGGAGGGCATGCTGGGTGTAGGATTCCAGTGCCTGCATGGTTTTCATTACGCTCTGGGTAATTTTTCGTAGTGGATTTTTATGAAAGCACCATGAGTTATTTATTATGTAGTTTGTATTTGTGGGATTTTTTTCCTTGTGCTTTAATGTTATGATTTAAAAAAAAAAAAAACCAAAGAAAACAACCCAAAGCAGTTCTAGCAGTTTGGCAACTCTGCTTTCATGGAATGTTCATCATCATCAGGTGACGTAACTGTGGTGATTTTGTGCCTGTACCATGGATTACCTCACAGCAGAACTGAAAGCTGTGCTCTCATTGCAGAGGACTTATTTTACCCCCTTGCTCGTGCTTTTTTAACCTTGTAAAAGTTCCCAAGCATGGCAAGTGTATGAAACTCGTGAACACTCCTTCCCCAAGTGTGAAGGAGCAGGCTGGTTAGAGTTTGTAGGGAACACACACAGGGAGAGTGAGGTGAGATGAGCAATAAAACCAGTGATTCACATTACAGACTGGAACCCACCCTGCTTTCAGCTGGAGGGGACAGGAGTCAGCCAGGGGCTCGTTTTCCACAGCCTGCAGGGACAAGGGCTGGGTGGAGAGTCTTTGAGATAAACTGCTGTCCCCAGAATGAAGGAGCATTGGTGATCTTGTCAGACCAGGCTGATCGCTCCTCGCCTCTTTGTTGTTGCTGGTTTGGGCTTGGGGGGGGGGTTATTGTCTTGGGGTTGGGTTTTTTAGGAGTGGGGTGGTGCCTTGTTGGTGTTTTCTTACCAGCTCCTGATGCTGGTTCCTCAGAGCTGGGGATCTGTTGGGAAGGGGTTTGCCATGATGTGTCTCTGCGAGGTTTGATGGAGTTCTGCTGGTTTGCATATGCTCACAGGCTCACGGGGTGAAGCTAATCCATGCTTTTGCACTCTTGGCAGCAATCCTGGCAGGACTGTGGGCCATGAGGAGAGCTGGATGGAGGACAAGGGTTGGGGGGAGGTTAGAAATTGCATTTGAGGCTCTGCTGGGAGTCCTAATACCGGTAATGTGTTCGCTGTGATAAAGTGGGGAAAGTGCTTGCTTGGGAAGGCTGACAAGAGACCAGCAAGATCCATTTTGGTGCTGGGGATCAGAAGGCTCCTTCCTGATGCTTCACTTGGCTGGACAGGCTTAGCTTACTATTCTAGAGCAAACAACAAAGCAGCTCTGCATCGTGGTGCCAGAGTAGTAACAGAGCACTTCCTGTACTTGAAATTCAATTTTACATTCCCTGCAGAAATACACATGGTTTCCAGTGAAATAAATAGGGTTTAGCATGTTTGGTATTAATATTACTGGCTCCTTGCTGTTTGTATGCGTTTTTGAGCCAGAATGCTTTTGTATGAGAAAAATATGGCCTGAAAGCTTTAGCACAGATGAAATGCTGTACTTTTGACTTGGAAAATGCCTCCCAAAGGCCTCCTGTGGTGCTCTGTGCTGTGCACTAATCTGTACTAGGATGGAGCGACTCGAACCGACCCTCACAGAGTGTTTAGCTCCCTGCTGCACAGCCTGGTGAACACTTTCTGTGGCAGGATTTCCAGCTGTAAATCCAGGATGCTGGAGGGGATAAGGGATGGGAAAGAGAAGCACTTCCAGAGGGGCAGACTCTGAAGCCAAGCCAGCATGAAAGAATGGGATAAGTCACTGAGCAGGAGGTACCAGTGAATCCCAAAGCCTGTGGTGGGGGGTTTGTGCCAGGCCTTCACTGCTCCCCACAGAACCCTCCAGTGAGGAGGGCTGACACTGGCAAATCAGAACAGGTTGCTCAGAAAGGTCAGTGACAGTTTGTGACAGGCTGAGTGATGCTGTGGTTGGTCAGGAGCAGGTGACTGGGGATACCTGGGGCAGGGATTCTTTGTTTTAAGGTGCACAGTGAGTCTGTACCATGAAGGGCAATGCTGATGGCACACAGGATAAACACCAACAAGCCCAGGCCTGGACCTCTGGGTGTGCACAGGGGCTGAGAGCTTTGTTCTCAGGGGCCCCTCCAGCCCCTGCTGCTCCCCAGGGCTCAGCCAGGCTCTTGTTTAAGGCTCTTGGAGTCTAAAGCCAGCCCTGTAAGCACAGAGGACACCGGGGCTCTGATGGGCACAGCAGGTCCCAGAGCAAAGTGCCCGGGCTGCTGAGGAGGCAAGTTGGGTGGAGAAGCACCTGGGGGGCTGCAAAGCAAAGCCCAGCTCGGAGGCATCCATGTTAAAGTCAGTGCCAACCCAGCAAGCCCTCAAATCCCTCGGTACCAGAAGCAGATGTGTGATCTCGTGCCAGTCGTGCCTCGTGTGGGCTCAGATCGTTTCAGGGAGCAGTAACTGAGCTCAGTGCCCTTAATTTGTTCCAGTCCCCTGTGTGGGCACACCCTGCAACAGCAGCAGCTCTTCATTTTCAAATCAGCACTTCCCTGACCAGATTTTATACACAACGCTCTCAAAATTCCTCATGCGCTGTTCCTCTTGTATTTTTTCCACGTCAGAAAATTTGTTTTAATGCTTTTTCTCATTTTTTTTCCTAATAATCTGGTGTCTCATAATACATCTTATTTATTTCCTAACTCCTTCTTACCTGCCAAAATTTCTGATTCTCCCCTCCCCTCCCCCATCTCATCTTCTGGATCAAAGCATTTTTATGTTGGTCTGTACCACAGATCAGCACTGTTATTTTTGCTGAAGATTTGGTGGATTTTAGTTACACAGTTTTAGGCAGAGCCAGGATTACAGAGAGGTTTGGGGAGCAGCGAGGCTCGTGTGTATCCACATCAGCCTCATAGAAAAACCGTGTGCAAATTTCTGGGGCTTCATTTGTACGTTAAAGTAGTGAGTTTAATTCACTTTGTAGCCGAGCAGTCGCCCTCAAGCTTTCTACTCCTGCGCATCTCTATAAACACAAATCCTCACGGGGGCACTCTTGGTTCGAGCACGGAGCAGAGGAGGTGCAGTTTCATCTGGAGTTTTCCTTTGTAGTGCACTGACAAAAAAAAAAAAAAAAAGCCTAAGGAGCTCCTAGGATGACTTTCAAGTCACGGTTAAAAATAAGCTAAAATAAGTGTTACATAAGGTAAAGGAGCTTCAGTTCTACGATTCTGTTATGAAGTAAATCTAGTTATATAATGTCTGCTGCCAGAATTTCAACTTTCACTTCAAACAGGGTCACACCAGGAATGAAGGTTTAATATTGAGAAATGGTTTTTAGCTGACTTATCTTTATCAATATTTTTCTTGTTTCTTCTGCGACTGCATTTTTTCGTGTGTGTAAAAGCAGGGGGGAAATAAACTGTCACTGTATGTGATGTTATGGATTTCCTGCTGTTACAGGCTATGATACATAACCCATAGTGACAGGGAAAACTGGGATACTTATGGGAAGGATTTATTTGGGAATTTAGAGGGAGCTTCCCGCTTGGTGTCCGTTTCTCAAACCCATGATAATTGAACTGAAATTATTTCTAACCCTCTGTGCTGTCAAGCTTCTTTTACTGCCTCTTGAACAGCTGGATTTCTCTTTGTTATCGCTGTTAATAAGCACTGGGAGAATGATTAGCTCTTCAAAGAGCAGACATATAAATATGAGATTATCAGAACAATGCCATCATAAAACAGCTCCAGAAAAATGGCGTTAAACCCCTCTTTTTGCCTTTTTTTTTTTTTTTCTGTCTTGCTGCAAGAGCATTTAGTGGGCAAAACCGAACGGTGCCACGGGCCCTTGAGTGAGAAATTCCTTCGAAGAAACAAGGCTTGTGTTGTTCCCCAGGAGGATTAGCGGTTCCTGAGTCATTTCTTAAGCACGGGCCGTGTAGCTGTGACAAAGGACGCTCCAGAACTCCTGACACTCGTCTCAGTGCAGGTAGATTTGGCTGGGTGAAGGCTCCGGGGCTCAGAGGTGGATAATCTGAGGGGGAGGTGACTCGTGGGCTGTTGCCACGATCAGTGCCCGAGCCCTGTGCAGCAGCCCCTGCTTTTCCTGCCCGCTGCTCCACAGGCAGGGAGGGAGCTCCAGCTCCAAGCAGGGATCTCCTGGCAGGCAGGAGACCTCGCCGCGCTTTGGGATAATGATTATTATTACTGCCAACACCCCTCTTGGGTGGCTGTCAGCCTAAACTATAGCACCAAATTGGCTGTCCTCCTTTGCTAATTAATTTTGTTTGTAAAATACTCCTCCGAGGGAGAGGGAATAAATGTTACCATTAAGGACTTAAATAGGCTTTCAGACGAAATGCTATAACCAGCTGCAGGTCAGCAACAAACCATTCTTTGTTAAGGTGTTTTCCTTTTGCAGAGATACAGCCTGAACAAGCTGAATAATCTCATCCTTTTAAGGCAGACCGTTAAGGTGGACTAATTCTGGGATCAGAAATATCTCCTGGGTCATAGGAGCAGAAAGGAATAGATTCTGAACTGTTCATTATTTTAGTGTAACACTTCCTGAAAAACTGTGTGAAAAGGGCTACAGTGTTCTACTTACTTTGTATATTTTGTATATTTTGGCTTATATTTAAAAGTAATAACCTTAAGCAAAACTAAACCCTTTCTGGCCCACAGAAAAAAAATATCACGCTGAAATCAAGCCTGATACACACAGAAATCAGAATTCCAATCTTACCCAGGTTATTAAAAAAAAAAAATAAAATTCAAAGAAGTCATAGACTCCTTTAGGTTGGAAAAGACCTTTAAGATCGAGTCCAACCATAAGGCCAGCACTAAACCACGTCCCCAAGTGTCACATTTACATGTCTTAAACCCCTCTGGGGCTGGTGACTCCACCACTTCCCTGGGCAGCCCTGTTTCAGCAATAATTTAAGCGGCTTGTTGATTAATATTATCATTAAAATATCGGTAGTGTATGAAATTGCTTCACAATAGATAAAAGAAAAAAACCCAACCAACCAATTGACATCTCAGTGTAAGCGTGAAATCACAAGGAAAAATTAGTCTTTTGCCAAAGCATCCTTTGGCTTTTGAGCCACTGCACACCAACCCTTAACTCAGGAATTGTGTCACAGAGCAGCACGTAAAAACCAGAGAGAACTTCAGCACTGCATGACCACCTTAGGAAAAAATATAGCATTTTAGAGGTATATAAAGCTGGCAAGAAGAGTCCACCCAAGGGAGACGTTCAGACACTACAAAGGAGGAGGCAGGAAATAAGCTGTTGATGGCAGTGGCTGGGAAAAGCCTGAATTAAACGGCCTAAGGTGTCACTGGAGGTTTTAGCAGAAAAAAAGAATTAGCTGGCAGAGAAAAATATTTGAGTGATACATTTGAAAGCCTGGTAGGTTTGGGTTAAAAAAAATGGCTTATTTTCCAGAGATGTTAGGTAAAAATTTCAATTTTGTGTTAATCTCCGGTTAAATTGACAATTAAAGTGATGCCACAGGGAGTTGAACCCTCTGGACTCAGAGCAAACAAAGGGGTCTTAGAGTTACCAGTGGCCTCTGAAAGAGGTGTGAATGGGGAGGCTGTTCCCAGCTTTGGGTGACTCAGGATCCACACTCTTGCAAGAAGCTTCTTCAGGAATCCCATCTAATAAGTGTAATTATCATTTTTTTTTTACCTGGCATTAGTTATTTCTTCATTACCTTTAATTTTTTTCTATTAATTGGTTAAAATATTTTTATATCGCTCTTTTTAATGTGACTTGTGTTTTCTCGTTCTACTTGTCAGAAGATTTTCCCGAAGGCAAAATAAGGGATATCTTAAAAGCTTTTAATTGTTTCACTAGTATTTCATAGAGAGAAAAGCTGTTTTCAGACGTAAATAATTTGCCAAATAACCAGGGGTAAAATCAGACGTGGAAATGGATAGGATAATGGAACAGGATAATCCTGAGCTCAGAGGTTTGAACAGAAGTGATTCTACCACAATTATGTTTTTAGTGCTGTGTGTTTTTTCCTTCTTCTTGTGGGCATAAAGAAGTCCATAACTAAGTAGACAAATGGAAATGTCGAACACAGAAATGTGCTGCATCCAGTTCATCATGTAGTGACCTTGGAAGATCCCGACTGCCATCCCCAGCTGGAGAGGAATCCCTCTGTAATGAGCCACGCTCCCAGCAGAGGTTAATGCAGGGCTCTGGAAGTTAATAACTCTTGCTGAGCTCAGGGGCCTGGCTCTCATGGCAGCATCACCCAAGGTACTGGGGGCAGGTGACATCGAGCCTGAAAACGTGGGTGAGGGGAGGGAGGCACCAGCAAAGGACAGGGAGGCAGCTACCAGCGAAGTGGTGCTGGTTAAGCAAACTTAAGGTCACAGTAAAGCAGAACTGAGGCAGCTGGAGTTCGGAGGGCTGCGGAATTCTTTCCCGGGGGTTACAAAACCTCTGGTGTTCCGTGGGGCTGAGCGGTGGGAGCGCCCCTCGCTAAAGGAAAGCCCCAGAGAAGGAACCCAGGGCTCAGGGCTCCGAGGTGGCACGGTGCTGCTGGTACCACGGTGCTGCTGGTGCCACGCCGTGCCTCGCTTTGTGCAGACACCCGGCCAGCTGTGCCTGCCG